AAGAAGAGGAACAGATAATGATTGAAAAAGTGTCAGAATATTTGTGTCGAGATTGGTTTCCTGATAATTTTTATCAATAGTCAATATACAAAGTTTACTGTGCGAGAGTTTACTCCCTAAAGGAAATAATTACTGTCCAGTGAATTGTCCAAAGTTTTATATTATAGTCCATTATATGTAGTAAATTCAATGAAGTTTAAGTTATTTAAGAAAAATTGACTTAGGCAACCTTCAGAAAATTGTTTGGGTGTCCTCAAATTTTAATTTCAAATCTTTAATTATAAATGTGCCAAATGTTTTATTTTTCCCAAACGAATATTTAACAAAAGAAGCGATTTGATAAACTTGTATAATTGTTGACAATTCATTGACATGGGAATACTCTTTGAAGCCAAAGAAAAAACTATCGTCTTATTATTGTAAACGGAAGCAAGAGTTCCAATACCTGTATGTTTTGTTATTTTTTTCTTCAAATAATACATGTACTTGCAACCGAATGGAAGACTCTCAATGGTCACTTCCCTTACTTGTATGTTAAAATTGTACTTCCTGCAAAGGAAGTCCAAATATCGATTTTCAGAGTATTTTTTCCTTTACTTGACAATGCTGTTGCAAAGTTGCAATAAGCATAGAGAAACGAATAAAATTTTGAAGAAAAAAAGTTTACACACCGTTTTCATCCCATATATTACTAGTATCTAGATCTCAGCCATGTGAAATATTTCTTCCAAAAAGGCATGAAAACAATCAAAGAAAAATTGTGCAATATAAGATACTAGTTACAGCGGCGGATCATAATATTATAAACAAAATGGCGTCGTCGCGTTATTAGCAACATACGATTTCTGCATTATAAACAGATTTGTATAAATGAAACTTACCTAATATTTTGTGGCATACCCCTTTGATCTTATAATCCTGAACATTCGTTGTGGAAGAGATCTGTAAAGGTTCCGTATATAATGAATGGGGATGGTGGTCCATATTCTCCGAATTTCTTGTTCTAGATCCGCTGCGTTGGTAACTCTGTTTGCACATTTTCTAAGCTGATTTTTCAACAAAAGCCAACAGTTTTCAATTATGTTAGCATCCGGAGATTGGGCAGGCCACAGCATTCCTCGAATATTATTTTCAGTTTTGTAATTTATAACAATCCTTCCGCGATGCACTGGCGCATTGTCGTCTTGAAAAATAACTTTAGTCATTCTGTGGAAAATGCTGGGCAACAACTGGCCACAGTTCATTATCAATTATTTCCCTGTACTTTTCAGCATTGATATTGCCATTGACAACTGTCAGAGTACCTGGTCCATTCCAGCAGATACACCCCCAAATCATTAGACTAACCTTTGCACCACGAACGGGGCTAATGCATTGCGGCATCCACTCCTCTCCGGGTCTCCGCCACACATATACGCGATTATTTTCTCCAATAATCAAGTTACATTCATCAGAAAAAAATAACACTATTCCAGTCACCATCAACTTTCCAATTCCTTTTCCCCCTAGCCCACTCGACTCATTTCTTTATGTTCACATCTCGGATTCGCATGTTTTTTCTTACAACTCGTCTGTGGTATTTATTTCGGAACAAACATCTTTTTACAGTTACTTCTGAAACAATATTCCCCCGAAACTGGTTGAATCTGGCAGTGATATCTTTCAGAGGTTCTACACGATGTGTTTTTACTAACCTCAAAATTGACCGTTCGTCCTGAACATTAAGTTTTTTCTTTCTTCCCCTTCTAGGCTTATTCTCCACCGAACCCCGTTCCTGATATCGCTTTATCACAGCACAAACCGTACATCGGTTTAATCCTAGGCACTTTTCAATTTCTGATTGTTTTATTCCACTCTGAAAACTATTTACGATCCTTTGTTTTAAGCTTGGTGATAAATCTTTCGCCTTTCCCATTCTCTGTTTACATACAGAATGAGGTAATTTATTGCATCACAATCATGATACGTCATATCTATTATAACATAATACGTCATTTAACCCAGTCATGTGCCTTTTTTATTTAAACATGCAAACTGAGAGGAGCTACAAATAAATAAGAGTGAACGTTTCTTTATAACCGCAATTGGAACGCCATTTTGTTTATAATATTATGATCCGCCGCTGTATGTTATAAGAAGTTATTTTCATCAGTGTCTTTTGGGGCATGCATCACATGGGTTTGCTGCTGTTTCCGGCCATGTGTACAAAGACCTTTAATACATGCGGAAAGGGTAACTGAGAATGCTTTGAAGGATTGAAAATATTGAGAATATGTCATTTTCTTACTTAAGGTGACATTTTTGTATTTTTTATTAAACAACCCTCGTAATCAAAGGAACGTAGTGTTTAGAAATGATTTCTCAGAAAAATAAATTGAAGATCCATTCCTTCTCATACTTTGCATTCATAATAATTTACATGTATTTCAAATAATTACTTTATATATGATCTTAATGAGCAAGGCACTTAATCAATCGGTGCTGGTGTGACAAGTCTACTGTTCTCTAGAATCCATCACTCTTATAGCTAGTGAGCTCTTTCAACATTACAATAAGGTAACACCTTGTATGTATCTCCACCAATAAATAAAAACACAACAAAAGTAGATTTTTTAAGTTTATTGGAAAAAAAATCAACAAATATTTACAATATTAAAAAAAGAACATTTATATATAATATGCCATTATAAAAATAATAAATAAAATAAATGGATAATGAAACGGGGAAAATGTAAGCAAAACGTAATCAAAACTATTTACAGTGATTCTATATGAACTATGAAAGTGTAGTACCACCTACCTGTGTGACAATCTGTAGAAAAATATGATGGAAATACACCCACCTAAAACCACGTCGTTAGGTACGTCACACGTCTTAGGTCAGGTGCTCATTCACACAGGTAACAATGGAGGCTTACAAGCTCAAGGCGCCGAACATTCGTACCAAACACTGCAACTCAGTCTCCATTGGTGAAAACTGAAAACAACATACAATTAAGAAAAGTTGCGAGAATAACAGAAATATCAAGAAGAATACATTTTAAAAGTGGTTAATATTACAAAATACTAGTATACATACCAAAGCAGTCTTCTGTCTCTTCGAAAACATGAAAGGTTGGTCTGGTCTCTTGCGTTTGCGATTGGACTGCTTCTGAAATTTACCAACATAAAATGTATAATAAAAACTATCACAAAGACACGTATTATTCTCTGTTATTTACTTTATATCTGTTTTTAATAACGACTATTTTCCAATACCTCAGCTTCTATCGACTGTGCCTCTGTGCAGATGCCCCCTTCTGCTTTGTCCTCCACCAATCTCTTACTCACCTTGTCATCTGTCACCTGAAAAAAATAATTTACTGACTTTTATTTTTTTTTCTTTTCTCCTTTTAGGCACGTTTCAAAGAGACATAAAATAGCATCTCAATTGCTGACTCTCCATTACCTTGACTACACGTATCTCACAAACATTTTTAAAGGTTATTCTTACTGAGAATTTTTTTAAACTTTGTTTATTGTAGTAAATGATACTACTTAGTGATACTTTTAATTACACCTACCCTGTCAGTGGCAGTTTCAGGCTCATCAGAGGAAGAGTCGACAGGGGTCTCAGCACGCGGAAAGGAACCGCCAATGGAGGGTTGTGTGGGTTCCACCTCAGCAGCCGGGGGGGGGGGTTCCCCATCAGACCCGGTGGTAACATCTGTCGGTTCCTCACGGAGCCCAGTGTCAACAGCTGGAGAGGATGGCTCAGTCTCCTGTAAAATAGGTAATAAAGTGTGATGTTATATGTGTGCTTACAAAAATGATACTTCATAGGCCATCTAACTTCAATAAAAGAGATGATAATGAACTATTTCTTTTCAAAACAAAGTAGATGTACAAAGCAAGTCAGTTGTTACTGTATATGTTTAGCATAAGGATTGTGGATAAGCTTACATCAACAGCAGCCTTGGCCTCTAGCTCTACTGACTGCTACTGTAAGAAAATAAAAAAGAAGGATTTAGATTGTTATAAATTTGGTAACATATGACCAGGGATATTTTCCTAACTTAAGCAGCCATTTTTTAAACTTTATAAACAAAGATCAAATAAAGAAATTAAAGACTAATTGAAAATCATATAACCCTCTTTCCAAAGAAGAATGAATCCCAATCCGAAATTTTAAAAGAAATGTGATATGGAAAAAATCTCTTTCATGATGACTTTGAGCGTAAAATATCAACATCTATTGAAATTTAAAAAAAACATATTTGTATTATATTTGGAATAATATCTAATGCAGTCCTAAGATTTATGATTAAAAAAACAAATTTACCTTTGACATTTTACTCATTTTTCCACACTGCTGCCGGCATACCTGCTCTTTCTCTCTGATATATAGTGTTGCTGACTCAGGAGAACTCGGCGACTGCAGTTTGGACTCGTTTTCTTTCTATGGACAATTTAAACATAATTCCTCACTGCTGCCTGCTCTTTTTCTCTGATATATAGTGTTGCTGACTCAGGAGAACTCGGAGATTGCAGTTTGGACTCGTTTAGTTTCTACGGACAATTTACCCATAATTCCTCATGCTGCCTGCTCTTTTTCTCTGATCTATAGTGACGCTGGCTCAGGAGAACTCGGCAACAGCAGTTTGGACTCGTTTAGTTTCTACGGACAATTTACTAATAATTCCTCACTGCTGCCTGCTCTTTTTCTCTGATCTATAGTGTTGCTGACTCAGGAGAACTCGGCGACTGCAGTTTGGACTTGTTTTGTTTCTAAGGACATTTTACCCATAATTCCTCACTGCTGCCTGCTCTTTTTCTCTGATCTATAGGTATCACACCGGTAATTGACCAATCAAAATGAACTTAGTCAAATATAGGTCCATATATATAAAATTAATTTTCTTTTCTTTTGAGGCGTTTTTCTATTTTCTTCCAAGCCATTTTTACAACTTTGGTACCTGTGCCTAGTAAATTTTATGTACTTTGTGATTAAAGAAAGGTTTTTGACAGGAACTATTTTTTTCAGGGCATAGGAGGCTACTTCCTGTGATGCACTCGAGGTGTTTATAAACAAAGTGAAAACACGTGGATTTGAGGGTAGCCCTGTTTGCAGATGGAAAAAGTCCGAAAATGCCGTGTGGGTACCCTGTTTTTTGGTGTCAGCTAATGTGACAGGTAATGTTTAACAACTCCTGCTAAATATTTTTTCATGTAAACTAATACCTGATTTTTAACGATTTTTTATTCTATATAGAATTATATAGTGAAAACAATTACCGGTGTGATACCTTGAAGGTGATTATGAAAAATCATTTAAATCGTTATTAAAGACATTTTTCATATTTAAAAGGCATATTTCAACAGAATATGTGATTTTGTTAACTTTTTGTTAGGAAACACACAATTTTAAAATTAGAATTAGAATTTACATTATTTTTCACAGATTTCTGTGTAAAAATTAACAATAGGTTATTTTTTACACTCACCTCTTTAAAATATGAGTAAAAAGGTAGCATTATGCATCTGAAATGTAGAAAGAAGTCAGAGAATGTTGTTTTTTCATTTTATATGACTTAACATTATTTGCATCAGCTGACCGCAGTCAATTATAGTATCTACAGACTTTGAAGTAAAGGGTGTTAAAGCTGATTTTTCAAGAATAGACTAATTCTAGGTTTGCGAATGAATTTTCAGCACAAGCGACAACTGCGATAAAATGTAAATAAGTAAAATATGTTCTCACAGAATGATAATTTCTACAGATATATGCTTTATTTTAATTTATTCACACCTCCATTGATACATATGTTACTGCATTGGAAGAATAGAAATAATGAAATGAGTCAGATCTGCCTAATAAACTTCAAACATAAGCTACATAAGTAAAATTCTTTAAGAATTTTTCACAGGAAGGAAGGTTATGACCAAAATATCCTTAAATACTGTCAGAGTCTGCATGATAATACTTATTCTGAGTTCTAATCATGCATCATACATGTAGTGCAGAATGTCACTTAGCACCATGGCATGCCTCTTGTGGTTCTCAGGACTTTATTCATGCTTTCGCAGCTGACATTCATGTTTTCTCAGTTTGTCGGAGACTGTTTTTTGTTATTTTTTTCATTTATATGTAAGTGTTGACTGTCACTTTTGATTTAAGTCTCAGTCAGTGATGCTTATATGAGCATGATCTATTAAGGATATCATTGTACTGAAATATCAATAAATTGTAAGTTTAACTGATGAAGAAATTTGGCATATTTACATAATTAAAATATCAGAATAACTATAATTCAGCTAATAAGGTGCACCTTTCTTCTCAGGTCACCTCCTATAAATTTTATCAGCAGTTTTTGTACACCAACCCACCTCAAAGATTCATGGAGGATGTCCTGAAACTGGTCTCTGTGATGCATTTTGTTACATGTAAATGTGTTCAAACCCATTAAAATGTTTAATATTTATATTTTAAAATTTGAATTTTTATTTTTTATGTAAATTTGGTGAAACAAACAGATGTAATCTTGCATAAATCATGGAAATTCATTAAACACCTTTGGAATTCCTGAGTAAATCCATGAAAAGAGAATAATTATGCATGTTAAATTGAAATTTCATGGCTACTTTGTGTCTTAAGAGAAAGCCAGTTACATAAATCACAACAATAAATTACATCTGAATTGTTGTCTCCATTTTCTTATCATCAAAGCCAGTTTATTGGAGTGTGGGAGCTGTCAAGAACCTCCCTAGATGCTGATATCATTTAGACTGTTCTGAGTTACAACACAGCATTTAGATAAACTTCTGCACAGCATCTTGTAGACAAATACCTAGGCTTTATTTGGAACATAAATTGACCAGATACAGTTTTCATTATCAACCCAGTATTTAACAATTTCTGTATTTTTGTTCATTCTTTGAAGGGGAAAATGCAACTTTGTTATGTAATAATTACATAATGGTCTTAGACTTGTAACCTCTTTTTTGTTTGTTGTGAAGAACAAAGCATATACTCTCCACAGATAAAAAATTGGTTGCCAAGCTTATTCTTTTAAGGATGAAATTCTGCTTCAAAAGATGCACAAAAACTGCTTCCAGAGTGCTCTGTGTGTTATTCTTGACTGCTCTGGAGTAAGGGAGATAAATGCTTCATATCTTCAGAAATAAGGGGATTTAGATCACCAGACTTAAGGATGTTGGGGACAATTGTTTAATGAATCTAAGGTGCAAAAATGAAAAAAAATCGAACACCCTCAAAGGTCCTTCAAGGTATCACAGCGGTAATTGACCATTCAAAATGAACTTAGTCAAATGTAGGTCCATATATATAAAATTAATTTTCTTTTCTTTTGAGGCGTTTTTCTATTTTCTTCCAAGCCATTTTTACAACTTTGGTACCTGTGCCTAGTAAATTTTATGTACTTTGTGAATAAAGAAAGGTTTTTGACAGGAACTATTTTTTTCAGGGCATAGGAGGCTACTTCCTGTGATGCACTCGAGGTGTTTATAAACAAAGTGAAAACACGTGGATTTGAGGGTAGCCCTGTTTGCAGATGGAAAAAGTCCGAAAATGCCATGTGGGTACCCTGTTTTTTGGTGTCAGCTAATGTGACAGGTAATGTTTAACACCTCCTGCTAAATATTTTTTCATGTAAACAAATACCTGATTTTTAACGATTTTTTATTCTATATAGAATTATATAGTGAAAACAATTACCGGTGTGATACCTTATAGTGTTGCTGACTCAGGAGAACTCGGCGACTGCAGTTTGGGCTCCCTTTCTTTCTATGGAATTGTTTTTGCTGTTTGCTGTTGTTTGGTTGTTTGTTTGATGGTTTGATTATTATCATCATTTATTTATTTGGGGAAAGTATTTTTATCTCGAAAAACCGCATGTTTAAGAGGATTATGGGTACAACACTGCCACATTTCAAGGTCTGTTTAGCTAGCCTGACAAACATATGAATGTTACAAATATCAGAGGACAATTCTACAATTATTCTTACTTTTCTGGTCCAAACCATATCCCTCCTCCAAACTCGGTTGGTACGCCAATAAGTCTTCAAAAACGTTGGTGGTTCAGACTGTGAAATAAGACATCTTATTATAGAATTGAATAATTTAATTTGACTGGTATTATCTATGTATAGGTTGAAAAAAATATGGCTTAGAAATAGGAATGGAGCACTCAGGATCGTTCATTACCTGTTTTGGTACTGGGACAGGTGGTGCCTTGGTGAGTTGGTCACTGGTCACCGGCGTGTTGGTGGTACCCTATGCTGCTGGGTCTGCTACTAAAATACGAGAAAAAGGTGTTTAATTTCTGCATTAAACCTCCATAATAATATATCTCTGGTCTCTTTAAACAAATCGTTGTATTGTTTATATATATTTGTATATGTAATTATATTGTTAGAGAAAAAAATACATTTTAAAATCAGTAAGCTTTTTTTTCGAATTGCCCTCTCCCCTTTCAAATACATTTAACTGATGTTGGGTATTCACCTCTCTTGTCCATTTTTGATCCCTCCGCCAGACTTTGTTGTACCGCCATGTTATCTTCTTCCGTTTGGGAACAGCCTACAAAACAGAAAGATCAGTACGGCATATTTACTGTACACACCATATTATATATAAATCAATGTATAAACCTTTTTACATAAAGTCAATATAATTCTTTATACCCCACCTCGTCAGGTTTCCCAGATGCTGTGTTTAAGGTCTCTGACGAGCCCTTGTCTGGATCCTCACCAGTCTGAAATATATGAAAAAAAAATGTACTTCTTTAAAACTCCATTATTGAGAATGAAAGTTGCAATTGCCGCAAATAATATTTGATATACATAATTGAAAGTAAAGTTTTCACACTAATTATTGTCAATGATCATTTACCATACCTGCTTGGGTTGGTCCTTTTTGGAGGGGAGTGGCACCCTCTGTGCTTCGCTGGTGGCAATTCCCTATAAGGCAGCAACGATTCATTTAAATTCATATGTCAGATTATTAAATATCTCTCTCTCTCTCTCTCTCTCTCTCTCTCTCTCTCTCTCTCTCTCTCTCAAGATGTTTTTGTTTTTCGATGTTATTCCGAACATGCATTGATCATTAGACAGTGTAGTTTCATAATTCTTTTTGTTTAAAATCTCTATCAACAGTATAATATAGGGTTATTGAACTTATTTTGGTAAATGTTGGCACAAGTTGACTGAACAAATGCATGAGCTTGCGAGTGCATTTGTAAAGCCAACGAGTGCCAATATAATTATTCACCAATATAAGTTCAATAACTCCTTTATTATATAGCTAAAACATTTCCTCATAATTTATAATAATTTAAACTCAAATAAATGATTTTTTAGTATCGGTAATCAAATTAACGCCTGTCCTGTAAGTGTTCAATATATATCGCATCATTCCAATGACCCTACCGAGCGTTATGATTTGCTTATTTAGGTTTTAATGCGTCTATTACGTACTAAATTTTTAAATTGAATGAATAATTTCATTTTTATGTGAAAAAAATAAACACATCTTACCTAGATGCTACATCCTTTCTTTAATTTAGCTCTGAGAATTTGACCAGACGACTTTTTTTGTTTACAACGGGACGTTCGACATTGAATGCTCGTATTCGGGATTGTTTCGGGCATACTCGTATGCAAACTCAGCGTTCAATAAAACGTCAAGATATTGAACGCTTAAATTCTCAAGATTTTTATACGCCCGTCTTAAGACGGGACGTACATTTGTATTATGTTATAGGCTTCGTGTCCGACCGTCTGTCCGTCTGTCTGTTAGCTTTTTCGTTTCCGGCTCATAACTTTAATACTATTAGGACTAGGATTATCAAACTTTGTCATCTGATGCATCTTGGGTAGAAAGTGTGTCGCGCACAAAAAGTAGGTCGCTCTGACCTGTTATTAAAAAGTTATAGCCAAATATGGAAAAATCCTTTCCGGCCCATAACTAGAAAACTATAAGACTTACAATCATCAAACTGGGCCAGTTTATGCATCTTAGGTAGAAGGTGTGTCGCGACCTATTTCAAGGTCACTGTGACCTTTAATTTAAGTGAAATTTAAAAAAAAATGTGTCTTTACTATTCATTTAAGCATCCCAAATAATGTAAGAGTATTGCACTGTCCTTATGAAAAAAGTGCTAAATCAAGAAAAATACTTATTTTTTAAGCATATACTTGACAGCAATCTATAACAAATATAAATGTATGTTAGAGAAATCCTACCTCTCCCTTGAGTGTAATTATCAAGAACTGGCCAAGAATTTTGATAACAGAAATTTGCATGTCAAATTAGAGAGAAATTAATGAGTTTTGAGTGTGAGGATCTAACTGATAGAGGATTGGTGTTATCTGTATCCCTTGGGTATTGGGCAGATGGGTAAGCCTGTTGGATTAAAATAGCTCTTGTTGGCTAGCCCAAGTTTTAAAATGAATTTGATGAAAAGTAATTAAAACTAATTTGATATTGCATAATAGACTAATCTGATATTATATAATGTTATTAATTTAAAAACTAATTTTTAAATATAGGGTGGGGTGGAATCAGCATGTCCATATGAATTAAAACCTGTCGGATATTAAATCTCAACCAAAAAAAATCTTTGAATATTTTATATGTTTGAAAAAAAAATTATGGTAGATAGTGCAGACCCATTCATCTCTTGGTAGTAATGAGTAGACAAGCATCCAGTTAAAGATTAATTAATGAGTTCAATGTAGGAAGGCTATCTGATCAAGTCTTATCTGTATCCTTTGGGGATTAGACAGAAGAAGTGCTGGTCAGTTTATAGCATATGTCATTTGATGGCCAGCCTTTTCTTTTCAAAATTAATTTGGTATAGATTAAGGTGTTAAGACTAATTTGATATTGTTTAATATGATGGGCATTTGATAAGGTCTTACACAACCAGCATAGAATGATGTAATATTTATTATAATTAATGCCTACATCACAGGGAATGGATAAATATTTGAAGGAATGGAAAAAATCATGGAAATCTTAGAATCAAGGTTGACATGATTTTGTTGCACGCTAAACTGTTCAAGAAAATTGTATTTTTTTGACGGGCGTATCATGCTGTGGCGCGGCACTTTATTCGTAGTATTTTATTAGAGACTATTTATTAGCTATATAGTAAATATTGATATTCACCTCTCGTGTCCATTTCATATCCTTTGTCCAGACACGGTTGTATCGCCAGGCTCTCTTTCTCTTTATGGGTACTACCTACAAAATAATGAGAATATTACTGTTACATACATATACTGAAAGGAAAAGAAACGCAGGTTAAACTTTTGAGGTGAATTAACGAGGCCGAGTCTAATTATTTCTACCCTAGGGATTTTGATAATTTTTCGTGAATTAATCATTACTGTTATATCTATTGTTTTAAAATTAAAAAATCGAATGCTTACCACTCCGATTTCTTTGGGGGTCATTTCAAAAGTTGTTAATTTTTACTATTGCACCCTAAGGGAATTAGTCGGAAAAGCGCCAAATTATCACATTTTTTCCATATTTTTTATATTTTTACCCTAGAGATTTCTTCTTCAGTCAAGTAGATGAAAATTATTATAAAAAGTCACCAAATTGTGAAATTTCAAAAAAGTTGACCATCTAGGTTGGTCTAGGTCTTAATTATAAAGTTTATTTTTTCGATACCCAATACCTCTAAAATTGCCAAACTATGGTATAAATACATATTGGTGCAGATGAATTATCGGCTCAGATAATTTTTTATGGTAAGAAATAGCAATATTTAGTTTGCTTCTATGTTTTTTCTGTTGTTCTGACATTAATTTTTGGTATAATACCTATGGACGTCTACGAACAAATAAGTGAGTCAAATGCCATTCTTCAGCGTCAAACATTGCAAACAAAATCGAAAAACAGTGACATCGTTAGACTCATTTCAGCGTTTTCTCCCAAATTATTATCGTAAATTTCATTTTCAGACAAGCAGGCGTTTCTAATAATGTTAATTTTTATTAAAATCACAATATTTGGTAAAGGTGTACTGTCGCACTTGTGACTGCCTGAAATTAAAAAGCTGCGCAAAAGCCATGCGCACTCGAATTAGACTCGCCTCGTTAAATTTATTTTTCCTTTAATTTTTTTCGGTATTCATATCTAACTTTTAAATTCATCTTTCAAAAAGATATAACCAAAATCCCATTTGATTTTGTTTAATAATTAATGAGTTATTGAAGTTCATATGGCGATACCCCCCAAAAGTGAAAATCGAAAACTCTCAATATCTTCAATGTCTCTCCCGCGCATCTGTCACGAGCCTTATTTCTCCTTTGCATGGAATTCATCAGAGTGTTTATCTTTCAATCCCTGGCTATATTGGGCATGGGTAACCACGCCAAATCAAAGTACTGAAAGCACTCATGGGAGTTGAACATGGTGTAAAATAAAATATTTGATCGGGAGGTTAAGTGAGTGAACAATATTATTATTTCAAATACAGACAACTGTTTCAGATTTTTTGAGTTGCAACAATCTTGAGAAAGACATTCAGAGACATTAAATAGCAAAAAAATGCATGGGCCATAATGCTTGCCTGCCTAAATTTGTCCTTTTTCAATACCCCCTGCTTGAAAAGCGGGAGGGTATTTATTAATCGGGATTTCCGTCCATCTGTTTGTTACGCTTTAGGTATACCTATCTCTTATCTGCAACTCCTCTTACACCACTGAACGAAATTTTCATGGAATCTTTATTACATATTGCCGTTGTACACCTTCTATTACTTTAATTTTCATCCTACACATATTTTGGGTTTCCCATTGCAAAACATGGACACTGCTGTTACATTCATATTAGCGCGACAGGCGACATTGAGACAAATCCGGGGCCATCTCAAAGTATACAATCCACACTAGACATTTTTCATTTAAATGTAAGAAGTATTAGAAACAAGTTTGATAAGTTTCTGAGTATTGTGTCAGATTTCGATATTTTATGTTTCACAGAAACCCATCTTGATGCTAACATTTTAAACGAAGACATTCCTATTGATGGATATAATTCAATTTTTCGTAAAGATAGAAACTCACATGGGGGCGGTGTAATTATATATGCATCTGACTCGTTGCGCACTAATAGACGCCTTGATCTTGAACCGGTGAACCTTGAATGTGTATGGGTAGAAATAAGCGATCCTACCTGTAACATCTTGCTCTGTTGTGTGTACCGTCCTCCTAACTCCGATAATTCTTTTTGGAAAAAATTCGAATGGTCTCTTGAAAAAGCTGTTGATATATCCGATAGAATTTTAGTCATAGGTGACCTAAATGTAAACTTTCTAAATCTTCAAATCACACATGTAGTCAATGAAATTCTTTTAAAATACTCCTTTCAAAACACAGTATACGACGCTACTAGAGTCACGAAAAACACGAAATCTCTCATAGACCCAATTCTTGTCAGCGAAAATTTACATGCCGATGTACTGGACTCTGGGACAATAGATGTAGAACAATCTCTTAGCGATCACAAAGGCACATATATATATCTTAAATCACATACAGTACAAACACAATCATATGAAAGGAAAATATGGCTATATAAAAATGCAGATTTTGAGACACTAAACACACTCATACGCAATACAGATTGGAATACACTTATTAATGACGCTAAGGATATAGATCAGGCGGAGAGTAATTTCTCAACAAGTTTTTTAAACCATGTCAAAAATTGTATACCCGAAAAAACAGTTACTATTAGGCCTAAAGATAAACCTTGGTTCGATTCCGCATTGCGAAAAACGGTTCGACAGAGAAATCGTGCAAGAGATAAAGCCCATAAAACAAAAAAAGAATCAGATAAGGATAAGTTTAAAAAACTACGTAACAAAGTAAATAACATGAAAAAAGTAGCAATGGCAAACTATTACAACAATATTGAGACCAATCTTATCGAAGCAAGTATCAAAAGTTCTAAAATTTATTGGAAATTATTAAAAGATGTTTTTAAAACCAAGGTTAGGTCCGATATTCCACCGCTGCAGGACACTACAGAAAATGGAAATATACATATTACTTACAGCGATATTGACAAGGTTGAAGCGTTAAACAGCTATTTTGCTTCGATTTCGTCTTCGCATGATATCGAACCTGAATTACCTGCCTTTTCTTTATTGTGTAATAGTGTTCTTAATAGCATTGAAATAGTTGAGCAGGATATTATTGATATAATTTCTATTCTCCCTGTGAACAAGGCCATAGGACCTGACAATATCAGTCATAAAATGTTGAAAGCTACCATTTTTAGCGTCTCTTTTCCTTTGTGTATTTTGTTTAACAGATCTTTAAGGGAATGTATATTTCCTAAACAGTGGAAGGTAGCTAATGTACTTCCTTTATTTAAAAAAGGTGACCCATCATTATTATCAAATTATAGACCTGTGTCATTATTAAGCTGCGTAGGCAAAATTATGGAGCGAGTTATTTTCAAATATGTTTATAATTATTTTCATTCTAACAATCTTTTTTATAAATATCAGGCTGGCTTTTTACCAGGCCATTCAACGGTTTATCAACTTATTGAGACATACGATTACATAGCTAAAGCCATTGATGAAGGTAAACACTGCTGTATGGTTTTTTGTGATTTGTCTAAGGCATTTGATCGGGTGTGGCATAAAGGTCTTCTCTTTAAGCTACAAACATATGGTTTTAGTGATAATTTATTACTATGGTTTCAAAGTTATTTAGATTTAAGGTCACAAAGAGTATTGCATAGGAATACTATGTCTAGTTTTAAATCTTTACATGCTGGAGTTCCCCAGGGGTCTGTATTGGGGCCACTTTTATTCTTGATATATGTCAATGATGTTGCTGAAAATTTGTCGACCTTAAGCAGATTATATGCTGATGATAATTCCTTACAGAAATGTTCAGAAAATGTACATGATATTCAGTTAGGATTAAATAATGATTTAAATCAACTTGAGCGGTGGTCTAAACAGTGGTTATTGAAATTTAATCCTACGAAAACCAAAGCTGTATTTTTTAGTACCAAGAAAAATGTAAATTTACCATTGCTCAAATTTCAAGATTGTGACTTAGATTTTGTATCATCACATAATCACTTAGGTATTCTCTTTTCAAACGACCTCACGTGGTCAGCGTACATTGATTCTATCGTGACCAATGCATATAAAAAATTAGGTCTACTTAAAAAACTGCAATTCAGGGTCAGTGCTAAAACTTTATCTCTGTTATATACTTCTTTTATAAGACCTCAGTTAGAATACGCAACTGAAGTTTGGTGTGGGTGTTCTAGTCAAGATTCAGAAAACCTAGAAAAATTACAACTTGCAGCAGCAAGAATAGTCACTGGTTTAACTTCATTAGCATAGCGAGATTCTCTCTATTTCGAAACTGGTTGGGAACCACTTGCTGTTAGACGAATGTCAAAAGTTAGAACAACTATGTATAAAATATATTATAACATGGTACCCGAGTATCTGAGAGAAATATTTCCAAATATTCGATCACAAGAATCAAATTACGTAACAAGACAGTCACAAAATTATTGCATCCCGAAGTGTAGATTAAATATATATAAATCATCATTTGTTCCAATGGCAATAAGGGAGTGGAACTCTTTGTCTCTTGAAACAAGACAATCTACTACTATAAGTTCCTTCAAAAACTGTGTAAACTCTCGTAGAACACCTACCCCGTCCTTTTTTACTTTTGGTGATCGTTACTGGTGTGTAATTCATACTAGATTAAGACACAATTGTGTTCTAAATAAAGACTTATTTAGGTGTAATATTATTGACAGTCCATTATGTACTTGTGGAAAAACAGAAGACGCATATCATTTCTTTTTCTCTTGTGCGAAATACAATACTCCAAGGAACGACCTGTTTAATGCTATCTTTAGAATGAATAACTTAAGTATTGTAGACACTCATGTTCTGTTATGGGGAGATAATACGATCAGTATTTCTGAAAATGAAAGTTTATTTTTAAATGTGCAATTGTTTATCAAGAGATCTGGTCGTTTTTGAGTAATTTGATTCGTTTGTACATACTACAACAATTTTAAATTCTGTACATGCATTACTTATGTTAAATAATCTTATTGACCTTTGGTTCCAGTGTGAATTAATTTTTGAACAAAACTTTGTGTAATTAATTGTTATAAAGGAGAGGACGTTCTAAGTATTAAGTACTTGTGTCCAATCCTTTTGTTGTAAGATCTTAACAATAAAATATGTTCAAACAAAATTCATATTAGAGACGGTTGATTATTTATATAATTCACTGCTCATAGTCTTCAAATTTGTATATTTTTCCTTGGCACCTTTACCCATGTGTTATGAAAATTTCAGTTTCGCAGGAATAATATCAATGTTGATAAAATGTGGATTTTAACACAGCAGCCTTTTAAGGGCTAAGAGGTTTGTTATATAAAACTTCTCTGTGAATATAAATGTATTTCAATTACACGAACATTATACATGGAGTACGTCAGAACTTAATCTTTTTTAATATTGTGGAGAAAAAAAGCAATACCAAGTTAAAAACAAATATTTTATGACCAAAAATAAAAACAGTGGTATATGTGAGAGTTTGTGTGCGTACAAATTATCTGGTATGTAAATGATGTTTTCCTTTTATTAAAAAAGATATACTTCATTTTGTTTTTTTTAATCGCGATTTTACGAAAACATCGGTGTCCGTTTTTAGTTTTTTAAACATTTATAACAGAGTACTAGATTTACCGCTTTTGGCAGGTGATACTGCTGATTTAGTAATAAAAACGTATGTTTTCTAAAGTTTTAATGCATTAATGAATTCATTTAAACCAAGAAAATGTTCATGAAAAGTTTGAATAAATTCTGTACACCGGTAAAAAAGAAATTGCTAAAAGTCCTGTACCGTCGGGCGTCGGGAAGACTAGATTTACCGCTTGCCGTCAGTATGTAGAGTTATCGTTCGTATCTCTTTCAGTATATGACGCTACATTAAAATGAGTTGCATTACGAAAAACTTTTGAGGTTCTTTATAATTTAGTTTTACTTTGAACGAAATCTAATATTCAAAATAAGATTACTTTATCATTACGTATACTTACATCAATTCAGGAGAAAATGACATGAACTATTTGTGAAGGATGTTTATGCATGTTTTCTGTTGAATATCATCGGAGTAAATCGGTTGATACAGTAGCCTCGCTTTCGGCTCTACATAATCAACACAAATTACTGCGCATGTTAAATGCGTGATGACCATGGGAGATTGAAAATAGTTCAACTCCCAAAAATTAGTCATACGACGCGCGCATGCGCCAGTGAGAGGAACACAAGAGTAAGTTGACCGGCTCAAAAAACCAAATTGCGGAAATGTTTCCTTTCATTTTTCGTGTGAATGTAATGATTATGATAGTCTACTGTATGAAAGCCGGTTTTGGAGGTAGTGAGGTGGCGATTTAAGATATGGCAGGACGAATAACCCGCTCATCACATGGCTCTGTTTTGCGTTAACGTCATCGTCACGGTTAATTGAAAACCATTCCAGGCCCTCTCTAACAACGGGTAACAAGTTTTATTGGAAAAAATTTACAAGAAACTGCTTAGTTACCCGTTGTTGCCTTTTTCATTAACTAGGCAATTCGAAAACCAGACCCCACATTATGGAACTTCCGTAAACTGTACCAAGATTGCAAGAAATTCATATCGTCTCTAAATATTGAAAAACAATGTGGATACCTCAGGTGCATCAAATGATGCAACAAGATTTGTTGACAAAGTCGTCGTCATCAAATTGCACGTGTTTTGGACTTTTTAGCGTTTTCCCTATGTGACGTCACAAATTTTACGGTTGAGTAATTCTGAATACTAATTTTGGTGCATAGTAACAAAATTTCTCATTTGACCAATTTAAAAGTGAGACTAAGATTATTTTGAGTGTGATTTTCCAATGGTAGAAAACTGAACATATTCCATAGCTTTTAGTAATTTTGAGAGAATTCTGTACAATACCTCATCAGGGGCGCAGAGCGGGGGTGTTCAGGCTCCCTTTAAGTCCCCGCCTGGACCACACAACTTCTGAAGTATAAAAAGAACATGAAAGTACAAATGTCACTGGTGGATTCAAAGGGAGTTTGGGGGCGCACCCTCCTAGTATTTTCAAAGTATGATCATGACTTATATTAATAATGCCATAATTAATGTTTAATTAATAAATGGTAATTTCATTTATGACCAAGTATCGGGTCTCTAAAAAATCAAGTCTGAAAACCTTCTTGCAGATGTAAAAATGCTATTTTTCAAATTTGGTTTTTTTTTTTTAAATTTTCCTTTCAAATGTGAAATATCATAGAGTATATAACTAAGTAATACCACTATTTTTGTGCGTGGGTTTACTCTTAAAATACCCCCGCCCCCCCCCCCCCCCAGCCAGAACTTAGTTATCCACGCCCCTCCCCCAAATCACAAATCCCTTATCCACCCACGCATGTGTACTTGATGAGATTTGTTATATGGCCAAATCTCTTTATTTTCTTACATGCTGAATTCAATATAAAATCAGTTAAATAACACAAGAATCATGCAAATTACTAATTAGTGTTGTTATTACACTTAATTACAATTCTTTCAGCAAACCAGAATGGGTTAATGCATTTCTCTATCATGTGCATCATTTTTCTTAATCATTGGAATAACCACCACCACGACACGTTTTTAAACATTGAAATATTTACTGTGAACTATAATAATAAGATGACAATGATTTTATCATTGAGAAAAAGATTTGCCAATAGCCTATGCATTCCCCTACCAACAAATCCTAATCCATTTTCCCTTCATTAAATTGCCCCCCCCCCCCAACGGAAGCAGGAAAGGATAACGTTGCCAATGGTGACGTGATATTATGTAGGGCTAGGCTAGGAAAATAATTCCTTTGTCGAAAGTTATAATGACTAAAATCTATGACCAGTAAAATCGTCTAGTAGCATATTAAATTAGTGATTAGAGAAATAATAATATTTTGTTATTCTATAAATGGAAAACTAAATAAATAAATCCAGAATATATATGGAACAGTTTTACAGATCTCTGCTCACATGCTCAACTACACTGTATATAACAGGAAAACTTTCGTTGATCTTATGTTTTCCTAGACAACTTCCCCAAAAGAAGTTAAAAGTTACATTTCAATGTACTTTCTACATGTATCGCAGTGACACCAGGAAAATGGACGGGTTTATGAAAGGAGGGTACATGTACAAACAAATCAGCATATAACTCTCCGTTACCCCTCCTAATTCTCGAAGTAAAATATGACAAAATAAATAAACACCGAACTATTTTTACTAAAATTAAACACACAATGTGAGGCAACATTTTTTGAAAATCTTTTAGAGTGTTGATGTTCACATAATGATTTGTGCATCATTTTATTTTTAAAAGTTGTAAATTGGAATTTAAATTCAAAAGAGCACTCTTTTTATATCTTGTCTATTTTTTTTACTGTTTTTAATCAAAACCCTTTTACACAGATTAATAAAAAATTATGTAGTTTAATAATACACATCAAATAATTATTTATATAAAAAGCATCGTGTCACGTTTCGCAATGCGCATTCAGCTCTCTGAATGGGAGAGGATCGAACATTTTGGCCTTGGTTTGCGACGATGCATTCCCCAGATAGCAAGCTTACGTTGGCCCAATGTTGGGCCAACGTTGTAAGTTACGTTGGTCCAATGTCGGAAAATGATGTTGGGCCAATGTAATTTTGCTCATCGGCGCAACGTTGCGCCGACATGTTGGCGCGACGTTGGCCCAATGTCATAGAACGATAATTCTGACGTTGGTCCAACGTTGGGCCACTGTTGTCATTTATGTTGGCCCAATGTCGGAAAATTTATATTGGGCCAATGTAATTTTGCTCATCGGCGCAACGTTGCGCCGACATGTTGGCGCAACGTTGGCCCAATGTCATAGAACGATAATTCTGACGTTGGACCAACGTTGGGCCACTGTTGTCAGTTATGTTGGCCCAATGTCGGAAAATTTATATTGGGCCATTGTAATTTTGCTCATCGACGCAACGTTGCACCGACATGTTGGCGCTACGTTGGCCCAATGTCATACAAAATTTACAATTCTGATGTTGGCCCAATGTTGTCCCAACATATTTTTGTACAAGGATATTAAGAAATCTATGGAATTCCATGGAAATATAAGAAATCCCAGGAATATACAATGAAAACTGAAATAATGATAACACCACAATTTATTAGGGCTGTGTATTGAGCCAAAAATTTCGATACGATACGATACAATATTTTTTACAGCCGTGAGGCTGAGCGATATGCGATATATTGGATTCTGAAACATGTCCATCAGATAAGGCTTCTAAATCATTTAAATGCATACATTTCATAACAATTAAGTGTTTTATTACCCATTTTAAAGTTCTTGTCTCATTGTCTTTAAAAATAACACTTCAATTAAAACTTTTGATGACAGTAAAATCAACATGTTCAAAAAAATTATCTTTGTATTTTGTAATAATTATAATAACTGTGTTATTTCCTTAGAAATTATATAATTATTGAAGGTTTTAATTCAAAAAAGTAAAATATAATCTTTGGTGATTAAAATTCCCATCTTTTAAACAGAATTTTAAGAAAAAATGGCTGTCCGATACGTATTGGAAGTTACTTTTCGATACGATATTTTTCTTAAATATCGATACGTATCGATATATCGATATATTGGTACAGCCCTACAATTTATCATAGATCAAATCTATATTTCAAAATTAAAAATTCGTTTCTTTTACAATGTGTTTTGAAACAAATATATAATATTACATATACACTTATAGATGTACAATGTAAGCACATATTTTCAAAGTATTCTCACTGATCGACATTCTTTGTAATAAAACAAACTATTTCTTTTTTTAAAAATATGGCATTTGACTTAATGACATTGGGAGAGGTCAACTGCAGTTACAAAGAACTTCCAGTTGCCCATGTACATTTACCGTACAAAGTTAATGAATAGACTAGAGTGACAAACACATGTATTAAGTACAAAATCTCAACTACACAACTACATTAATAAAAAAGATCCCATAAAATCAACACATGCTATTTTCACCGAATATGCCAAAGATCCTAATTAAGTTAGATTTGAAATTTCTCGTCAAGTATTCTGCTTGAATCACTTCCTCACTGATATCCCATGAAATTCACAATAATAAACAAATAAAATATGGCGTTATGTTAGAGGGTAGCCAAATAAATGGTCATGTCAGTCACGAACGGATTCACTTTAAGTAGGAAGGTTCAGAAAGTTCAATATTGATCATTTCCATAGTCACTTCAAACTTTGCAGGCACAATTTCTGAAAGAAAAGATGACCATTAGGATGTATTATAATCAATATCTATCGCATATTTAAACAAAAATATATGACAATTAATAAAGTAAGGCTCTACAAGACTGTAAAGACAATTGGTTATTTCAACCTGACAGTTCAGTATAGTGTAAAATAGAAATTCACTATCTTGCTTTGTTTTTATTTAGGCAAAATTAGGCAAGGGGTCTGGGGGCCGCCTAATGGGGCCCAGGGGGCAAAGCCCCCGGAAGCTCCTGGATTCTAGAGATTTTGTAGGGTAAAAATGAGGTCTACCAATTAGACATATTTACATTTTCTAGACGAAACTGTGATTTACGCTAACTTTGACAATTTTAGGGGGGCGCCCCCCTTATATCCGCCACTGTTTAGATTACCTGTCAGAATCCATTGTTATGTATTTTTAGGATAAGGAAATTAAAAATTAAGAATATAAACCTCTTGTTTACTTTAGTAGATGCAATATTTTTTATAGTTTTATGCTAAAAGATACAAGTTAATAAAAACAATGTTAGGTTATTTGTGTTACTTTAAAATAAAAAAAATTGAGCTGGTTCTCACCATTTTTACAAGCTGACAACTCGCCGGCGCTTAGGGAATCGTCTCTGGCACAGTCCACTGCATGCAACTATTAAATAATCAAAATAAGTGCTGAAAATTATCTTGAACATGCATTTAAAAATAAATATATATTATTACATTGTACAACAATACAACATACTCTGTAAATGTTGAAGAGAGGAACACTAAAATTCCTTTATCGATCCCAAACGAGGAAATTCGGGTTGAAATCCATCTTTATGAGAGATGTTTAGAAGTGTTAAATTATTATAACAAAATTGAAATGGGGCTTGCTCAAATGATTTCACTGCAAGGCGTTTTATGTGTATTGTCCTGACTAAGGAACAGTCGCAAAAGCAATTATTCATTCAAGGACAAATGTTAAAATATTTTGTACATTGTACCTACCGCAGTACCGGGTCGTAAAATGTCTTCATCTTCTATCAAAACAGAAATTCCATCCAAAACTAATTATGATTCTCCTTTTCGCGACACTCTCTTCCGAACTTTCCTTCTGTACAACATCAACATGGCTGCGTGTAACCCACCAAAAATTTAAATTTCGGCGCGGTGTGTTGTTTAAATTAATTGCTTATCGAGCCCGACTTCGATCCCGACGTAATTGTACTATTAGTCGACAGTTTTAGAGAAAAATCTAAGTTATATTCCATAGTTTTGAAAATTTACGTAAGGGTTAAATAACTAGAAATGAATAAATAAACAAAGAATAAAAAAAATAAATTAAATAAATATTTTTTTAAACGTTTCAACATAAGTTTACATAGCAAGCCAACATTGGTTCAACAATGTCGGCCCAACATTACAAAGATGTCCATACTTCAACATTAAAAACAACAATGTTCAGGCACGTAGCAATGGGGGGGGGGGGGCTGGGCCTATAGTGAAATCAAGGAAAAATAGCAAAAAAATTGGAAGTGAAAGGAAGTTGGCCTTGAAAAAAGTTAGCCACCACCACCCCCATCCTTTTGCTTGTCAACTTTTTCATGTAAGTAAAAAAAAATCTATGCCCCCCCCCCCCACTTTTGAGAACGATGCTACGTGCCTGATGTTGGCCCGACGTTGGAACAATGTCAGTGCACCAACTGTTGTAATTACGATGTCGGACCGATGTTGGTACAATGTCAATGCACCAACTGTTGTAATTACAATGTCGGACCGATGTTGGAACAATATCAATACACCGACTGTTGTAATGACAATGTCGGACCGATGTTGGCCCAATATCGTTCTGCCAACCGCGATATGTAGCCGATCTACCAACCACATGCCAACATCGGCCCAACGTCAGCTTGCTATCTGGGCCACAGAGATTGTTAAAATAGGTGTGGATATTCCGATGTTTATGAAATATCTTTACTACCTCAGATCAGTTTAAGCCATTTCATAGAAACCGCTCTGTATCTTCTTTAATGCAATGGTACACATAAGTGAAACAATCAAAAACATGGCTATTTATAATTCAAGCTTTCAAAGTTTTCATTTAAACTTTTCAAGGGAATCAAACAAAGAAGACATTTTTAAAAAAATTTCCCCTTATCCCTTATGCATGTATACATGTACTAAATACTACGAATCTTATACTATATCACTATAAAGTACCAGCAGCCATACTTTTATAATATAAATCTTGTTTATGGATCAACAGTTCTTTAAACCATGGGGGAATATTAATGGGACAAACAGCAAAATTGTAAAAGGTTATTGATGAACTGTTTAACAGATTAATGATAACATTTCAAGTCCATGAAATTACTGAAAATGTTCAGCCAAGTCTGACAAGATTTGTTAAATATTGAATTCATGGATAAAAAATTGGATGAAAAGTTTTTGGATTCTTTTGATCAAAGGATGCTCTTCCTCTGGCGTGACCTTAACTTTGAGATATTGTTGATTCCAAGTCGTGCGAACAATTTTTTTCAATTAATTCTGTAAGTTTAAATATTTTTTTTAAATTTAAAGTTAGTCTGTTTATCTCGACACCATTTACTGTCTTATTGACCTTGGCCTTTGAACTTGGATCAATATAAAATGTACCTTTAAGTCATGAGGAAAATGACTTCCGCTTGAACTCATTTCAAACTTCTAAACTTTTGACCTTGAGTCGAGATTATGACCTTTCAGGTCACTCAAGTTTTGAACTTTTCTAGTTAAAGTCTAAATGTTGACTACAACAAAAGATTTTGTGATTTTTTATCGCCAGCATGCAACTTTATATACGTCTTAAATTAAGTTATATTTTTAGTCATTTACTATAGTAAACACCCTCCTTTGAAGTTTTGCATGCAAAGTACATGTAAGTGCAAATAAAATAAGAATTGCATTGAAATAATGATTTAATGAAAAAACTTTTATTTTAGATCTATATACTAGTATTAAATATATTTGTACTGGGTACAAATTGAGCCGATGATAATACTGTATGCAACACGTTAAAAGCTGGCATGAAGCCTAAACAAGCATTTTGAGCAAGATCAATCTATATTTTATAAAATTTTTGTTTACTTATACTTTAAAGTACAAACAATCAATTAATACAATGATATACCATGTATCAATAAACATTTTAAGTTAAGAAAATGATGTGTTTGTGAAACACTGATGCCCTCGTATGGCAACAAATCGAAGGTTAAATTTTCTCAAATGAAAATCAAAACATGTTGATTCCCAAAGTTAGGCCTTTTCACAAGAAATACAAATGTGAAATATAAAAACCTAACATTACCTATTCAAAAGTTATGGCCATATGGCCAAGGCTAACGTTTTCTAGAAAAAGGTCAAACTCCAGGGTCGAGGTCGAAGGGTCAAGGTTGTTGGTTTCTAAAGAAAGGCCTTGCCACAAAGATTACATATGGGAAGTATGAAAGCCCTAGTCCTAACCATTCAAAAGTAATTGCCAAGGTTTAAGTTTTTTAAAAGTAGATCAAACTCTAAGTTCAAGGTCAAAGGGTCAAAGTTGTTGGTTTCAAAAGGTATCATTCGAAAATTCGGCGTTTATGCAAATTATCACGCAAGCCACTCGATTGATCACATCATGAAATAAAAAAATTAACAGTTATTTCTTAAATATATTTCTACAAGTGAATGCAACAATTAATGATCTTATTTGTGTCACAGATACGAATAGGAAAGACCAAGTATAAAATTAAATCTGTTCAGATTTAGATTTAGAACGGGTTAAATTTCACTTTATATTTTTAATTAAAAATTTCACAAATATATAAATTAATCAGAGTCTGTAATTATATGATTAAAAAGTTCAACATTTGTACTTAATTTAAAACCACTTGATACTACTAAGAGCAAAGAAACACTTGGGAGATGCTAAAAACTGACTGCATAACCTCGGACCTGCTGTACACAAGTTCCGGTAATTAGTTGTCGTTCATAACATCGAATCGTACATGTAACTGCAGCTGAAAGGCCTATATTAAATAGTGAATTTCAGCATTTGTAAACAATGTAAATATTTACAAAAACAGTGAAAAAGGATTACCATTTTATTTTAGCTGGCTCCATTCAGGACTGAAGAAGCGCGTGTCACCAGGTATTAACTTACTAGCAAGAGTAGATGCTCTCTAAAATATTGGGGGAAAAAGAATTGAAAATTGCCTAAACAAAATACGTTTTGATGTGTATGAAACAGTTGTAAAAGGCTCTTTGCTGTTTATATGTGTAGGTCTATCCTACAAGATAAAAAAATAATAAGCATGTTTGTTAATTTAATAATGTGTTTATCCATTATGAAAATGTTTGTTGTATTTCTACCTGTACGCTTCAATAAAATGAACATTAAACATGTTAAAGATAGGCGTGTCATATCCGTTCACTAAGATCCTGTATACATTGATAATACATCTTATAATTCTTGAATCAGTTATACTGTATACAGCTTCTTTGCATAGGGACTATTCAGGTAGTTGACTCTTTAAAAAGTGCCCTGTGTCTTAATGAGTCGTCCTTTTAGAATGATATACAACTATACCATTAAATGTTTGTTATACACTATATATGCAAAGCTAATTTGTCTTCTTCAAATTGAACAAGGGGACTGCAAAACGAAGCATCCCCTCGCAGACTGCATTTAGGCAGCATTCGACATCGATCCCAATGCAAATTACTTCACTTCCGTTTCACACAGGACATAACACATCAACAAACATACACACAGGACATAACACATCAACAAACATATACACAGCTAGGACATAACACATCCACAAACATACATACACACTATTGCATAACTATATTCCCTCCGTTGCGAGGGGATAATAAATTTAATTTATATCTGGTATACAGAATACTGGCAGATATACATGTATACAGAGGGGATCAGGATCCCTCTTTTGTGACCAAAATATACATAAGATTTTATAGATCATCTTTTTATAAGTGGCTAAGGGTCCTACCCCGACCTCAAAATTGGTCGGGATCGCCTTTACAAGATGCCGGAATCCGCCACATCAAATGAAAATCATTCTTCCTTATCTTCTGTTAGATCATTAATTTATGACACTCATACATGTATAAAAAAATATTATAAAGTGCCGCAGCGCAAAGTTTGTGATTGTTCTTTTTTGTAACAGCTGTGTAATTCCTTTACCAATTTTAATTTGTATTTCAGTTAAAGAGAATGCAAATGAGCATCCAGCAATGAATGTAGAGGATTCACCTGATTTTGGCAATCTCCCGATTGTCGTTTGGATTGGGGTATTGGAATATTTGTCACTTAAAGACAGATACAGTGCATCTCTGGCGTGTTCAAACATTTACAATGCATTTAATCACCCCACACTATGGCAGAAAGTAAAACTAGATGTAGGGGGAAGCTCAGGAAAACACAGATACTTCCACTTTGTTAAAATTCCCAAAAGAAATTTTCATCTCGTTCGTCGATTTGCAAAAATGTTCCATGACGTTACCTTTTGTATTTGGGGACCATTGCATACATATTTCGGACAATGGAACACTGTTTTAGAAGACAGCATCAAGGATTTTAATTTGGGTCATCTAACATTAGACGTAGGTGGTTTGAGAAATATATCAAATGTATCGGAAATGAAAACTCGTACTGAAAATATGAAGCCTATGGTAGACTTAGTTAGAAATCAGTCGCATTTAAAGACTCTTATCGTAAAGTCATGGCCAGTATTTGCTAAATCCTTACAGAATCCTGATGAAAATATATTTCAAGCTGCTATTGAAAATGACAAAATTAAAGATCTGAGAAAACTAAGCTTATTTAAATGCGAGTCCACGGCTTGTTCTGTGCGTAGACCACATTTAATTTCATCTGAGTTGACTTTGAAATTGGTGGATCATTTCAAGAACTTGACACATTTAGCCTTAAGATCGCCTATGATCACGTCAGATCTTATCTCGAGTTTATCATGTAGGGTTAGAGAGAAGCTTCAACAATTAGATGTAACAATAAATTTTATTCCTGAAGACGAATCTTTCAAAATGCCTGCAGTGAATGAATCAGTTTGGAAAGATTTCTCAAATTACAACACCAACGTGAAAGTGAAAGTTTTGGTTTTGTCAAGAGCACCGCATTACAAACTAGAATGTTTCCTAAGGCCTTCCTGTCCTCTCTATGAAATAAGGTTTGGAGAGTATATCAGAAGTGACAAGGAATTTATCTCTTACCTGGCAGATTCTTTCAATTCGACACTGGCTACATTTGAATACAAAGAAGAGGATGGAGATTTTGAAAGAGAACTAGTTACTCTTGTGGAAAACTCAGACCAACTATGTAGGTTAAAATACTGCGGGAAAATTAACTGTCAGAATGTTATACATCTAGCGGAACTAAGAAAAAATAATTGGGAGTCGTTTCACTTGATTAGGAAGAACATTTATAAAAAGAATGTCGAGAAGAATCCGGAAATGACCAATGACAGTGACCAAGTAATAGCGAAAAATAAGGACGGAGTGTATGTCCCTGTGGATCTAGTGAAATTTCACGAACAGGTTTCTATGTTAGACCATGAAGAAGAGGAACAGATCATGATTGAGAAAGTGTCGGAAAATTTGGGTCGAGATTGGTTTCCTGAGGAGTTGGATCAATAATAAATGTTTAATAGTATACATGTACACCATTATATGTAGTTAATTCATTGAAGTTTGAGCTGTATATAAGGAATATTGACTTTTATATTTTATTTTTATTATAGTATTTGATCTGAAAAGTATTAAGTATTTGATTTGCTCTCAGTTCATTGGAAATATTTAAACTGAATATTTCTGTCTCATAAGAAACATTTTAAAAAATGTTACAGTAATTTATCTAAATTTTAAGATGTATGACTGATCGTTCTGTTCATTATCTTTTTTTATGACTACCCGGTAGAAATTAAAAGAAAGCTGACATTAATTGGATTAAAAGCAATGTGTAAGAGGTATACAATTACATGTAAGATTTGCTACGATCAAGATATATTAAATAATAAAATGTTGTTCATCCTTTCATCTCAAGTTGTACATGGTAACAAGTATAATAATGTGTTTTTTGTCCATTCTTTCAAATATTTGAAGGAGTAATACATTTAAAAAAAAAATGTCATACTATAGAAATTTCATAATATACAAGCATAAGTAATAAACGTTTCCCCCCCCCCCCCCCCATTTTTCTTTTTTTTTCTTGGGGGGGGGGGGGGAGAGGGGGTTCCGAAATATTTCATAACCGTACATTTTGAAGATATCTGAGAAACATCATGGTTTTTTAAAAGCTTGATTTATTTGCGACTAAACAGAAGAATGGAAACTAGGTTACCACAATGCTGTGTTTTAGATGAATATGGCAAAATACATCACGTCAGAAAAGTTCACCCGGACAGTTTCCTTTGTTGGAGTGGATGTACATGTATATATATTGCATCTAAAATTTGTACGGAAATTATTTACAAGAAAATCATTGTTATTAACGGGAAACATGCAGGATATGTACTGCATGTAAAGCGAAAAAAAAAAAAATGCAAAATTATCATTTACACAACTTGAGATTTTTTTCTTTATTCCATTCTTTATTGTGCTCATTATATGACTCCATCTACATGTATATTCTTTATCAGCATTAGCTGCAGAAATGTAGCTCTCTGCTTGAGAAAATTCGGACAGATAAAGCAGAGCTACAGATCCAAGCGTTGTAAAAACCTTCGATTTACGCCGACGATTTTTTGTCGCTACTTTAGGTATTTACTTCCTGTAGTTTAAAGCCGCTTAATCCGAAACAGGCACATATTATCTAACACTATGAAAGTACGTCATTACATAGATGATATATAAAAATAAATTATAAGATTGATTTTATAGTTTATTACAACAATCCTTACATGGAAAAAGTAGATCAAAAATCTTATTGACAAACAGAAGTTCCTGACAGGAAGTTAAGATCTGTTGTGAAGTAATTTTTGAAAGAAATAAATTTATCAGTTATATCTAATAATGAAGATAATTCAAACCCGAGTATTTTTTCTCATCCAATAAGTCATAATTTATCTTTAAAAAATCAAGAAATTAATTAATTGAATATTATCCATAGTAATTTTTATATCAATATGCGTATTTAAAGAATAAAGGAAAATCATATGTTTTTAAAGAAATGAAGTTCAGTTACGAAGGGTAAAATATTGTCCATGCAGGGGCGGATCCAGCAATTTTTGAAAGGGAGGGTTCCAGGGTTGTGTCCCTCTAACCCCCCCCCCCTTACACACTCTCAGGCAAAGACACACACATGTATGGAAAAATATAAGATTGTGGAAAATAATATCTTTGTTCTACGTCCTTTTTTCTTTGAAAACGTACCCCCAGTCCGTATAAAAAAAATCAACACATTTAAAAAACTACTGAAGCCTTATAATTGAATGGATTTGCAGCATTTCCGAAGAGTAGAATGAATTTTCTTTAAGAATTTGAAAATCCTTTTTTGATTGGGTATAAAACAATGAATTAAATTTTAGTTTCTTCATAAGATTTAGTTTTAAAAAGTGGCACCTTCTTGTATATAGCCAACACAGCCAAATTAAGATCTCGGGAATCTAATATCAAATTTAACCTCGCATGTTACATTTCATATATATATAAGATATATAAAAATAAGTAGAATATTTTCTACCATTCATTCATAAAAAGTAATGATGAAGGTGAATGGAAAAACTAAATGTGTGAGAATCTATCTATTCAGTACATATTTAAGTTAGACGTACAAATACTTATTCTCGGGAAACGTTTTATCCCCCTTCTTTCTCTCTCTTTCTCTACTTGGCAAAAAATAAAGAGGGGGGTCCAACCCCCGGAACCCCCCCCCCCCCCCCCCCCCCTGGATCCGCCAATGCCATGTACAGGTATAAGTACTTTATTGTGAAAAAAAACTGCTCGGGTTTGTTCTTCATGAGATATACATGTAAGCGATAAATCTAATTTTTCGAAGGTGAATTCACGAGATATCAACATAGGATTATTTATTGTGTGACCTAACAAAAATTATTTTTTTAACTTTTGAATTTTGATATCTTTTAAAAGAAAAAGACTTTGGGGATATAATTTGACAAAAGTTGAAACAATTTATGGACAATTGTTTTTCAAGAAGAAAAAGGAAAATAATTTTTAGCGATAAGAATCGGACCAAGCGGCTTTAAGCTTTCTCTTGCTCTTGGAATAGTATCCTATAATAATTCATATATACAACTCTTATATTTGATACTTTGTTTACCTTTTCACGGTCCCAAAAAGTCCTGTATATAGTTTTGTCATGTCGGTTTAAAAGAGTTCCATTTTGAAGTCCGTAACCACAAACAGCCATTTGTAAGCGTTGAGGGGTAAGTAAATGACCAGGAATTGAAGATGAATGTATGATTAATTATTAAATACCATTTAAAACTATTTTCAATGCTGGGGAAAGTATAACATACACGAAAAAATACCCATAGTGTGCGACAAAAAATCGTCGGCGTAAATCGAAGGTTTTTACAATGCTTGGATCTGTAGCTCTCTGCTTTATCTGCACTGTAAAAAATGCGCTTAGAAAATAAACACTTCCGTTACGTGTTTTGACCTAAACATGTATAAGATTGTGTTTAACGGCTAAACATTTAGGTCTAAACGTGTGTTAGATTGTGTTTAACTGCTAAACACTTGTGTCTAAACGTGTGTTTTATCTAAATGATGTTAAGATTTAACACATGTTTAGATAGAAGTGTTTAGAAATTGAACACTTTTCTGTGAAGTGCAGAGTTATCTTCCCGGAAATGACGCATATATATTCGAATGATAAATAGAGCGGTTATCGAAACAAAGGAAATCCCAATGTTAGCTAAAGAAGATGGATTAAAGGAAGTGAATGCTAATCAAAGTGATAACCATGAAGAGATTGTGAAATGCATTTAAACTGCAACATTACTGCGATAAAAGGTATGTTAAATATTATTTTTATTTTACATCAATTGACCATGATGGGCTACGTAAATAGACATGCGTTTGCACATGTAGCTGTAGATCAAGATTACCTTCGGTTATATTTTGTATTCCTAAAATCTAGAAAGGAGTACATTATATAGAATATCAATAATATCTACAACGGTATTAATACTTAATAGTGGTTATATAGACGAGGTTCAATAAAAGTAGCACAATAATAGCTATCAAACATGTAAAATAAAAAGGTTCATAGAAATCCAGCCAGTGAAAAGCATATTTTGATAAAATTTGAATTTTTTTCTTACAGGATATGGTCCACATCGAACTTGAAAGCAAAAATACACGTATCAGAGAAACTGTTGCCATCTCCAAGTCCACAATGGCATGCCATCGTTCTTACATTTTTCAACACTTCTTACTTTCTAGGGGAAACTGAGTTTTGTGAAGTCTGCTGTTCGTTATAGCTTTGAACAACTTAAAAATATTCTCAAATAATGACAGTGGATTACCTACTGACGGTCACAGATGAAAACAAATTATGCGTGTGTTGCTCAGTGAAAATTTGCTGGAAGTTAAACTTGATACAGACATGAGAAATAACTGCTTGCTAATCTGGTTAGAATTAAAACCAGCGTGTAAAAATATAATGTATATTTAATTTTAAATTCTTTATAAAAAATCCATGTTTGAATGTTCATTGAATAAAATTTAAAATGTAAACAATTGTTATTTTTTCAGTTTTCTTGCAGGTAGACAACGAAAACATCCAAGTGTTTAATTTGTAAACATGTATCATAACATGTTTTGTAACGTGTTTAAAGTCTAAACATGTAAGTGTTTAGGGTCTAAACACTTTCCGTTACACGTAATGAAATTAAATGTGTTTAGAATTTCAACGCATCAAAAAAAGTGTGACAAGAAAGTGCTTAGGAAAGTGTCTATCATCTAAACACATTTTTTACAGTGTGTCCGAATTTTCTCAAGCAGAGAGCTACAGTTCTGCAGCTATCCCAGCATCACAACGAATGAGGTTTTGATAATAAAAGTACATTAAACAATTTTGAAAATACTTAATAGCCGAGGAATGCAAGAGTTTAATGATAAAAATAACGAAATATTCAAAATTTATTTTTAAAAATTCTCCAGGGGAGGGGGGGGGGTTGTTACATTATACAGTCGTCTGTCCCTTGTGGATATTTCGGCATTGAATCAGATTGTTGGTATAAAGGACAAGTAATTATTTTCCTGGCATTGTGACTTTATTAGATAAAATCTGTCTGGAAATATACATGTAGTTCAGTCATTTGATCAGTGCACAATTTAATGGGACATGACTGTGCAATTTTAAAACTTAATTTGTGTGCACTTTACATAAATCTTGTAGAAACCAACAAACACTGGGGAAAAAAAGGAAAATGGGAAAGACCATAAGATTTTAACCCCTCCCCCATTAAACAAAAAAAAAAAATCCAATTGTGTAAATGCCCCGCTTCATTGTCATTTATGCATGTAAGTATCTACCCTGTAAAATAGCGTTTGGTTTGTACTGCCTCTCTCGCTAGGATGTTTTTATTATTATTTTTTTAAAATTATTTTAAAACAGTGTACTGAATCTTAAAATACTATATTTAAAATCAAAATGTTTCTTAATTCTGTTGCACCGAGATCAAAAGCAATTCTTTAATTTTGATAGCTGTTTATTAAATACATGTTTGTGAAATACTACTTATATGTTTTTTAAGGCTTTATCTCGGCAGATTTAATTCTTTTGACAAGGTATTTTAATAAGTAATAAATATAATATGTAACTATTTTCTATTTGCTCAGCTGTGTCAGTCGACCCTATCGTACATTTGATTTGGACATTTTAATCTATGAATGGTTCGTTCTCCTATTACAAATACAGAAATAAAATGTGGCGTGTGTTTTTGAAAATTTTATCTAACTTACTGATTATGATCAAAAATATTCCTCAAGAGAGACGATCAAGTGTACATATTCATCAATCCTGTCCGTACAAGATTCATGGCTAATGTACAAAGGTAGATAACTGGTTTTGGATATCATAGCTAAAGATAGGTTTCTAAAAATAGACATGATCTTGGAATGTAAACAAACGTCCACACATCGGTATTTCTACAGCGAGAAATAAGACGTAAGTTTCTGTTTAATCATATAATTATACTTTTACTTCATAATTGTATATAGTTTGCAGCATTTTGTTTATAAAATATTACTTTTGTATTTCCTTTAAACATGTTAAATTAATATTTTATTTTGTACACACAGAATGTACTTGTTTAAATATACATGTTCAGACTCTGACTGATTTCTCCTCAGGATGTTATTATTTTTTTCTATATAAAATTGTGTCATATTGCTCTACGAATTTCAAAGTTATATTAGTTTTCTTATTTAATCTGTTCACCAGGATAATATTGACAATGCATGATCTCTCAATAGTCATTATAATACACCTCAGAATTGTTTCCAAATGCCAGACATTGTTGCCTCGTAATTGATAATGTGCCAGACAACTGTACTTGTTTTTGTTTTGTATTATTTCCGTAGACTTGAAACGCTTATTAGAAATGATTAATGGAAGCTCACCGGATCAAGATCAAGGTATACCCGACTTCAGTGACCTGCCCACAATTGTTTGGGTCAACATATTAGACTACCTTGACTTAAATAACAGGTACCATGTCTCAGTCACCTGTTCAAGACTTAATGAAGCGTTTAATCATCCTACTTTATGGCGGAAAATGAAATTATTCGTTCTGGGAAACAATGAAAACTATGGTTTTTATAATCAGGTCGTGATACCAACCAAAAGCATCAATCTTGTCAAACATTTTGGAAAATATTTCCAACATTTAACTTTTGTTATTAGTGGACATTTGGATCAAGACTTTGGTAATTGGAATGATCTCGTAGAGGAAGTTTCTAAAGAATGCAGACTTGAAACGTTAACGCTGTACGCAGGGGTTTTGACGTCAATCCGCCATTTTGCAGGGAATCGATCATGCAGTCGAAATTTGAAACCTCTTGTAAATATTGTAAAGAATGCATTTCGCTTGAAAAACCTGAACATTGTCTCTTGGCCCATGTTTCCTCGAAACTTGGAAAATCTAGATGAAAACATCTTCGAAGCAGCCATGTTAAACCCTAAACTTAAAGATCTGGAGCACATGAGTTTGTTTTGGTCCAATACAAATGTATGGACAGAAAGACAACCGATCCTGCTTTCTCCCAGGGAAACAGCTGACTTTGTCGGACATTTTAGTAATCTGAAACATCTAGCTCTGCGTTCTCCTATGATGAACGAGCAGCTCCTGGAAGTTCTATCATCCAAACAGAGACAAACATTGAAACGCCTACAAATACTCGTCAACTACATACCAGAAGATCCTGATTTTGCAATTCCTGAGATATCTGACAGGGTTTGGGAACGTTTTTGTTTGAAGAACGTTGGTGTAGAGGTAGAACTAACTGTAATGTCTCGAGTCCCTCTAGTGGAATTGTCAAATCTGTTAAAACCTTCTTGTCCAGTTTCTGTCACGAAATTTATGGCGTATTCTCGTTGTGACGAAAATGTTGTACAATATATTACAGATAAGTACAAAAACACACTGAAATGCTTCGAATCATACGGAGAAGACACAGCTTTTGAAAACGAACTCGTAAGCATGGTGGAAAAGTCGCCAAACCTTCTTCAACTTGTATACCATGGAAGAATCAGTTGTGAAAACGTAGAACGACTCGCAGCGCTCCGATCTAATTCATGGATGACCTTTGATTTTTTAAGGGAGAATATATATGTAAGCAATACAGAGGATCAATACGATGAAGATCAAGTGATTGCTAAAGGCCCGGATGGAAAATACGTCCTTGTGGCTATGCTCAGGTTTCATCAAAGAGAACAAATGGAACGAGAGAACGATGTTAGGAAACAAGAAATGATTGATACCGTGTCAAAGCATTTGGGATATAAATGGATTCCCACGCCAAAGAAAGTGCAGCAAGTGGCACAGAATTGAAAATACATTGTATGATATTTATAGGAGTACCGGGGATGTCCGTATTAAAGACAACATTAGTAATTGATTAAAAATATATGAAACTATTATTTTCATTAAAGTCATTTTTCATCTTAGTAATATGCAAATTTAATCCTGAACACTCATACCCGGAGCATTAAAACGAAAATCCTTGACTGTATGACATTACCCGACGTCAAAAGCTAAATACATTTAACTTTTTTTTTAACATAGTCACCGTTTAACTCAACAGATTTCTTATGTCGCTTTAACCAGTCATAAAAATGTGCACAACCTGTTCTGGTTCCATACGAGAAATAATATTAAACACTTCCTGTCCCAGATTCTGCAAATCTTTAAACCTCTGTCCGCGTAAAAACATCAATACAAGTAAAAACTTATATAAGTATATGAACATTTTAATAAAGAATCAATTTTTTAAAAAATGCTGGAAGAAATTCTTTTCGTGGGAAATTCACCAGTCAGTGAATAATAATGCGCCTTTAATATGTCTCAGAGAAATTCCATGCTGTATTTTAATCTGCAAAATAAGAAATGCACTTATGAAAGAATAACGATTTTGAATAATACCATATTAGCAATTCATTCAATTTCAAACATGCAGTATTTGAATCCAAAATTATTTAACCGATGGGCGAAAAAAATCTGTAAAATCGGAAACAAAACGCCAGGAAAGAAATATGATAATATATCATGCAAGCATTTTCCCCAACGTATTAAAATTATTAAACTATTAAGATAAAAACACCTACACACCTTTTGAGTGGACGCCTTCTTCCCGGAGGGTTCTGTAATTTAGATTGTCCTGTCCACCTGCTGTGTCGTTCACACTCTCCCTGCGCAAGACAGCAAAGGTCATTGTTTCTTTGAAAATTATTCTCTCTCATATTTTAGTAGCTTTGTTTTTAAAATTGATTGTATTGAAGCTATGTGCAGTACATGTATAATTTTTTGGCTTTTAATATATACATGTCGGAATCCTACCTTGTCCCTGTGGGAAATTGTTTACCTAAAATTATAACTAAAAGTTAATTTATCATAATCTGCTAAAAGGCATTTTTTTATGTAGTGAACAGTCAGTTATCAAGTCAGAAATGTCAATGTTTAAAGAAAACAAAGCATTGCAAAATACAAAATTTATAAATGCATTCCTGACATGTTTCTTTACCAAGATAATTTTTAATTTTTTTCATAAAATCATTTTCAAGTAACAAAAATATTGCTTAATGCATTCAAGCCTACAACCTATATCTTCAATTCTTCTATGGTGAATAAAAATAATGACACCAGCAAGGATGAGCATCAGTACAAAAATCCCGGTTACGGCACCAAAAACACCTGCACTGATTCCAGCTCTAGAGTTGCTGGAAGTTGGCATAACTTGAGCTGGGGATAAATATATTTCTTGTTTAAAGATTAATCGACGAAACAAGCACTAAATACCATATTCAGGGAGTTCTACAATTTTTCAAATTAAATATTAAATGTATGTATTTAGTTAGTTTTTTTCTGATAATGCACCAAGCATACACGTATAAAGCTACTACACGTACAATTTATTGTAAAACACATCTAAACATTAATCTAGAAGATATAGTAAGGTTTTTGTAAAATATCAATTTCAATATTGATTAAATAACACGTTACACTCTTTAAAAGTCTTACATTTGATTGTAATAATGGCTTTAGACGAATTTTTGTCGTAATTTCCCCATTGAGATTCACTTCTTGCCCGACAGTAACATGCAGAGTTGTGGTCTTTCCGCTGTGCAATTATAGTCAGTGCCGACCTCGAACCCGAGTGTTTGATGCCTCTCGTCTGCAGTTTGTTGTCACAGTACCACAGCCACGATACAGGGGGGTTTCCAGCAGAACGCAGGGAACAGCTCAACTTGACGGGGGTATTCTCGTCAACAAAATAAACGGATTTATCTATTTCTGGTAAGCCATCAGGGGACGCTAAAATATGAAGTCATAGAATGATAAACCTAAAATCAGTGGGATTTCCATTGAGTTCAAGAAGAATGGGATAGAAATTTTACCACCCCCCTCTCCCCATAAGAAAAATTATTCTATAGAAAGTTGCTTACAATATACGGTAAGAGAGATGGTATTGGATGCAGCTTCGTACTGTAGAGGGTAACTTTTCGCCACACAGTAACAAACTTTCCCGTTTAGATTTCTATCAGCATCAAGAACAAGTTTTGACGTGGCATTAAGGTTATAAACTCTTCTGTTGTATACATAGCTTCGATCGCACTTCCATGACCATCGAATGGGAGGGTTTCCCATAGAATCGAGGGTACACATCAGGGTGATTTCATCACCCGCCGAGACAACTGTATTGGAGGCATTCAGGAAAGGCACGTCCCGTGGAGCATCTGCAAGAAAATAATTGAGAGATTTTACGATTTTTTTAATCCTCCGCATAGTTCATTTAATCGAAAAGCAAAAGGCATATTAACTATTGATTATTTTTGTATCGACTTTTGTCTGATAAGCATACATGTATATCAATTAAAATTGTTTAACAGGCGTCAGACCATGGAAAACTTAATTTTATACAACCGCCGACTTACATTTGACATTAATCGTCATGTGATTAGACATTTTGCTGTATGTTTCGTTTGCAGATCGCGGCCAGACTTTACAATAACATGCCTCGCCGTTGTACTTCCTGTCCGCGTTGATCTTTAAGACTGATTCCTCTAATGTGCTCGTTGCATTCCTGGTCAAGTTGTCATTTCCACATTTCCAAGACCATGTGACTGGAGAAGAATTTGGGGATGAATGGACCGTACATTTCAGAGTGATTGGTTGCCCTTCTGTTACATTGTTTGCACTCATTTGCAGCCACGGTGCTGCTACTGGATTCACTTTAAAAGAATTTTAAAATCGTTTATTTTATATCTGAATATATAATTTTTAATATCAATCATCAAGGCTTGTCGAGATCGTTAAAATACTACTTTCCTTGCATAATTTGCAAAAATTGATTTTAAAAGCAAGTTTTCTAGTAACTGATTTTAACTTACCAATTAACGTTCCACCTACTATTCCAGATAAGAACATAAATAGGAAAAAATGTAACATCATATTTAGAAATCGGTTATTCAACTGCAGTATGAGGGGCGTCGCTTTTTCTTTTTATTAAAACGCTGTCTTACTTTCGTGGCAAGCAACTGTAACTTCTAATTGGTTTTACTGATATGATGTGGTTTTAATCTTCAGCGACTGCTTTTTATCAAAATTTACTCAACACCAAGTACTTATTATGAATAATAAATAGTGTGCCAGTATATATAACTAGCATATCTGTAACTTTAATTACAGCACCAGATTTTGAATAAAAAACAGACAAGTAGTGTGTGTATGTGTGTGTTTGGGGGGGGGGGGGGTGTTGCCCCCAACTTTTTGCAACGTACTTTGATATTGAAATGTTCATTGAAAGCCTGATTGAACCCCTTCACATTTTTTTAATTATAGTTAAAATGGCAATTAAGTAATGTAGTGATAGTTTTATGTTGTAAAAGATGGAACCTTTCCCCACCCTAATCAACCCCTCACATAGAGGGATTATTTAAGGAATCACTGTCTAGTTAGGAGGGTATGTCAGGGACATCAACAATAGTGGGAAACATGGGATAATTTGCATAACGGGCGAAGCCCGCTATATTTAAATTATCAAATGTTTCCCACTATTGTTGATGTCCCTGACATACCCTCCTAACTAGACAGTGATTCCTTTTATTTCCATTTTTACTTGAAAGAACAATCTTTAAAAAAATCGGATTACCGTCTAATTGAGTAGATTTGAAATGCACGAGGCATTTCATGTTCTTTTCTATTGCCCCGCCCCATGACGTCAAATTTTACTATAAAAAATAATCCCATAAAACACGAACCAAATTTAATGATTATTTAGTTACTGTAGCCAAATATCAATATTTACAGAATAAACAACAAAAGAATTTTAAATTATGACCAAAGCAATCTTGTTAACTTTAATTATATATGTGACCTAGATTTAGGTTGTCGGAAGCACGAAAACGTGTATAGGCCCTAGGACACTTTTCCACTGTCATACTGAATGCAATGTTCCAGTTGATGAAACGGGAGTAGGTCAGCATGGTCAGGAAACAGATTTGTGTGGATGTTAAAATAACAGAGGAAGTTGAGTTGCTTAATAAGTCGGATGGTAATGACTGAGGGACGATGTCTGTATCAGATGATGTTCAAAGTGCAGATCAATCTATGTGGCGATGCCGATTTCTCCACGTGGTTCAGATGGGCTGTTTACCATGTTTACGGAAGTGGAGTTCTTGGTCTCGCGAGTCCTCGGTGGTAGTGGACTTGGTGACTTTCTTTTGATCCGGAGATAATTCATTATTAATTTTATTTTGTTTGTAAAAATATATATCATACAATTATATTTACAAAGTAAACAATTAAACAAAACATCTATTTTTTCTTCAATGTGTTTATACGCCAGTCATTTACCATACGTATACATGAAGGTTGAACTTTGACCTTTCAGTAGTATTTCAATATAGAGAAATGTACATGCCACAGGAATCACGGAGAATAAACAAGATTTACTTTTGTAGTGTTTATCACAGGGAAAACAATTGGAAATGGAAATATTATTCCTTATTCTTTTTTTTTTTTTTTTTAAATTTCTTTGTATGATTGTCAAAAATTTCAAGTAAGTTGTCATTTTTTTTGCTACTCCCCTACTTGTCAAAAACGATACTATGTAATTATTAAATATAGGCAAATATATGTTATAATGTACCGGCAATAGATACTATCATATACCTGTATATGGTTGCAGTTGCCAATTCCTGAATATCTAGAAAATTAGATCACATAAGTCTTAGAACTTTTTTCTTACTTTGAGATCTTGAAATTAGAATAGCAAAACCAATTCCTTGTGTGCAACTTAATATTCACATTAGAAGGAAATATAACACAAATGTTGTATCTTATGTTATTTTTTTTGTATTTATGCGACTGTCATCAAAATTTAGCGAGGAGCAAGTTAGATTTAAAGATATAATATGTTTAATTTAGTAGAAGACATCGATCCCTATTTATTTGAACATATTTTATTGTATAATTTATACAAAGGGATTGGTTACAAGTTCTTGCAACTTAAAAAACCTCTCCCTATATGGATCCCTATATAAGTTTTAATAATTACATGTACAATGTAAGAAAGCAACTCACATACAAGCGCGATACTACGTACATTTGAATTCCCCCTCTTCTCCACTGTGAGGGAAGATAATAAACGATATTATCATTTAAATTAGAATTCATAAAAAATACATGATTACACTATTAAAGGGGCATGGACACAGTTTCAACTGAGTTTTTTTTTAACCAAATTTAATTTTTACAATTCCTAACTAAGGCAATTGTAATGATCAGCAAAAATTTGAATGCCATTTGTTGATTTACAAAGGAGAAACAGGGCTAAGAATTCTTCTTAATGTAAACAAGGCTCGTGCCTTGTTTTTGTTTACATTTAGAATATATCATGTTTATAACAAAACAAGCTTCAGCAAATCATTAGAAAATGTCTAATTGTATTTAAAATTAACTTCTTTATTGAAAAAATCTGCTTTGACGAACACACATCAGCATATTTAACCTATGTCAACAAAAACATGGCTCGGGCCTTGTTTACATAACAAAGGTTTGGAGCTCTAAATCTGTGTTGTAACTCGACAACTGAAATTCAAAAATTTGCTAATCATTAGAAATGCCTTAGTTAAGTATTTGTAAACATAAAAAATGGTATGAAATTTTTTGGCTGAAACTGTGTCCAGGCCCCTTTAAAATTTAAGATATTTTCCTTTCATGTGTCACAAAACACATTTGTAAACAAAGCAAATGATTGCAACAAGAGGGTGGAATCTCGTAAAATACAAATTAAAACAATCTATGTCGCACTAATTAATACAGTTAAGCTACAAATGACACCATTCATACTTGAAAAAAATTAATATAATATTTTGTTATAATATACAATATTAAATGTAGTTGAGTGTCCGTATGCAATACAAAAGTCATAAATCAGATAACAATACATTGTAAATTAGATAAAGCTTGGTCCAGTGTAAGGATTTGTGAAGTCTTGAAGGTATCCTAATATGTTTTCCTGCTTAGTTTGTTAACATAACCGAATGTCTAGGCGTCTTGGCATTGGTTTAAGAAGCTGCAATAATCAATCATTAAAAACAAATGACTGACCCTCTTAAGGTACTTTTGGGCTTCAACCATGCCTGAAAGTGAAACAGAATCAAAGCATATCAATGGGATATCCTAACCTCAGTCGAAAAAAATGGACATTCACACGTAAGAGGATTTTGTTTCGTATGTTTAATAACTACTGTGGCCTTTTTAATAATTGAAAAGGCTGAAAAAATCTTGAAGATTGTAAGAAATCCAAGATGAGAATATAACCTCGAAACACGGTGAATACAAGACAAGTCTGGAACCTTTTGTGTTGAAGAATATATCCTATATTTACTGCCACAATTCTTTTGTTGGCAAGTTGAAGTTTAAGGAATCAATATAAACGTTAGTTGAGTAGTATTTTCCTCCTTAAAACGTTAAGAACCTTCTATTTGCAGTATCCTTTATTATGTGTTGAATTTTTTTTTTAAAAAACACTTTTATTGGCTTTTTCAAATAGTTAATGTTAAACTTTCAAAGAAACAATAAAATGCTTTTCAATTCCTGTAAAACTTAGCATAACTAATTGAAGATTGCCATAACATTACTGCATATTACAATTATGTTTAAAATATGTTCGAGAGTTAAAGATGATAATAACAGAAGATTTCAATGGTTCTGTAAGGTTTGATTAAATAACCATGTCTTGCTTTGTTTTCGTACATATAATTAGCTAAGAATATCCAAAACCTGCTGACCGACGAATAAGAGAAGATGCACATTCTACAATGTACGACTTAGGACGAAAACAGATTAAGAACCCGTGTCTCCAATGCGTTATCATATATTTAAAAAAGCTTTAATTTTAGAAGTCCATTTTTTTCATCCCCCCCTTTTTTTACTTCTTTTTCATTCAAATTGACTATATTAGTAAGATTGAATCTTGATGAAATAATAATTGATATTAATTTTATTGAAATGTTTAAAAAAAAATCCCAACATTGATTGTACTAGTAGGAATATAGAAAGTAATACATAAGGGGATAAGCTTGTTTATAAATATAACGCAATGCTAAACCTTTTAGACGTACACTATGTACACTTACACTTCACACTATGTACACTTTTAAATGCTGACTGACGTTTTTCATACTAATTGTTAGTCCATTATTTACACACTGCATTGACGACGGATTTTCTGTTATTTCCCGATCATGACAAGGAGCACACGGCGTATGTGACCAGTCGGCAAGGGATGCTCACTACTCCATGGCACCTGATCCACCTCTGATGTTTCAGGGGTCCGTGTTTGCTTTGCTCCTATTTTGGGTTATTTAATGGACATCTAATCTTCTGTTCGTTATCTCCATATATTTCATGTAGAATTTGATACATAACGCATGTATCAGGGATTGAGGTATAAAGATATATATACATGCAGGTAACAAACACTATTCAAGCTAAGAAGTTCATTCAAACAATAGAAATTAAAAGTGAAGTAAACATGGACCTCAAGAAATCTGAGGTGGTATCAAGTGCCATAAAAAAGTGAGCATTTCCCCTGCAGACAGTGTACTCCTGATCATTATCGGGAAAAACGGAAAAAATGCAGCAGACAATTCGGTGTGTAAATAACGGAATAACAATAAGTATGAAAAATGTCAGTAAGCATTTGAGTCACGAATAGTTTGTATCTTGATAACATTTTCGAAATGGCTTCAAACAAGACTTTTGATATTCTTGTTTCATCATCTCGTTTTTCAATAGCTTGTGGTTTTCTTCTTCTTTTTTTTTTTTTTTTTTAGAAATTATTCGTATGTATAGAGTATGCTCTTGCGATTCAAATCAACTGAGAGACATAAACCCCTCATCAGGGCGATAAAGGTATATTGCTACATATGGAAGGGAATGGAAGACAGATATTCAATTCATCACGTTTTTCATAGAGCTTAAATGATAGGTTCCATAAAAGTCTTTCTCAACTGAAGTATCCACATATGAACTACATGTGTCAGACTCTTAAAGTCTCACTTGGATATATCGAGTCAACATATGAAAGGAAGTAACTATTGCCAAATGATAATACGTCGTCGATAATCGACCTACATGTCGAGTTGAAGGCCATATCAAGTGTTTTTCTTCTCGAGTAGAAGGTTTTGAATAAATTCACTTCATAATACAGAGTATATGGATGAAGTAAAACGCAAATAAAACAAGTAAAAAAAGTATCTTTAGTTCCTGAAGTACAAATATATGCAAAAGTACTCACATACAATGTAAAAGTATTATTCAAAGATGTATACCTAAAATTTTATGGTTTATGGTTCTCAGATATCCTCACCGATTTTTTAAATGATGAGAACTTATCTTCACAGCCAGAAAATAAAAGCACAGCACTTACTTTGAATATGGTTTCTTACAGGGTATCGTAATTGTGTTCATCTGGAAATTCTTCTAGGCTTACTGGTGAACTTTTGGATTCTCTTTAAAACATTATTTATAAGTAAAGATATAAATTCACATTAATATTTGGTGTTTACTGAATGCTTCCATGTTAACATGATGAGCCTCTATGGTGACCTTACTTATGCACAAATTATTGTCCCCCGCTTTCGCAAAAGCGAGCGAACATTAAATCTCATTCGTCTGTCAGTCTATCCGTCCGTCACAAAATTTTTTCAACCTTGTTTATATCTTTTGAATGAGAAGAGATAGAGCTTTCAAATTACATACGTATATTGCCTGCGACAAGACCTTTCCAGATACACTGTGATTTTTGACCAAGTGACCTTGAGCTTGAAGTTTGATCTACTTTTAAAAATTTTAAACATTTTTTCGAATTATTGAATTGGAAATAACTTTTGATAGAGAAAAGATAGGACTTTCATATTAAAGATGTTTATTACCTGTGATATGACCTTTTTGAATGCATATCATTTTTGACATCACGACCTTGAAGTTAGACCTAGTTTTCAACAACTTTCACCTTTTTTGGTCATGGCTTTTAAATGAGAAAAGACAGGACTTTCATATCAAACCTGTTTATTGCCTGTGACAAAACCTTTCTAAATACACTATGACTTTTGATTTCGAGACCCTGACCTTGAAGTTTGACCTACTTTTAAAAAATGTTAATTTTTCTCATAACTTTATAACTTGTAAGAGGTTGGGCTTTCATCTTCATATATGACACAATATGCCATAAATAATGACATCTCACCCACAAAGACACCGAAAGCTAAGGACACAGTTCTGTGAAATTCCTTGTTTACTTTAATTCTTAGCCATCTTTTACAAGCCTCTGTTCTCCATGTTGATTATTTCATGTACTAAGGAAAACTATATTTTCTATTCTTAAATATTATGCTTTTGAGAATTTAGAAGAATCAATATCAAATAAATAAAGTTAGCTAGTACCTTTTCATGTCAGGTTTTCTTCCTGAAAAAAAGGAAAAAGCTTTGAACTTAGGTATATTGCTAATGCAAGAACAAATAAAGGTAATTGATATCAATTAATAAAAGTCTTGATAAAAGGAAAGTAGAATGTGAGGAAAAAAGAAATCATATTTCAAACCTAATTTAACAAAGAACCGGGTAATCAGTGACGACTCTTTGGGAATTCTCCTATGTTGGATAACAATGATGACAGTGCAGAAAAGAAGAGCAACAATCAGACTGGCCAATGTTGCTCCAAACACTGTCAAGGAAATCCCTTCACTTTGAAATTGGTTAGCAAGCATTGTATTTGCAGGACCTATAACAATATTAATAATACTTACAAAACTTAAACCCTTAAATACATATATGGATTTATTTGTTAATTTTACACTTAAAAGAATGGAAGGTTTGCGTAAACAGTATTATTCTTTCACCAGAAAATGTCTTTAAATACTTGGATTGCTTGTAGTTTTTAATGCATGTTTACTTTATTCATGATTGATTGATTGATTGTATAATGTTTAACGTCCTATTCGAGAATTTTTCACTCATGTAGAGATGTCATCATATACCGGTTAAGGGATTCAAATTTTGACCTCTACTCAGAGCCATTGATATTGAGCAATGTGTGATTTTTATCATGCCAACGCCTGCCGTGACACGGTACCTCGGTTTTTAAAGCTGAAAAGACTCGTAAATAGGTATACGCTATTTTCGATATGATTATCTACAATACATCAACACCAGGGAATACTGACTGCTTCATTGTCACGGTACCGGCTTGGAATGGCAACAAATTTTCGTGCTGGTTATCTTGCATTGCCTTTGTTTACATTTTATAACAGTTACGTGTATCTGTATTTGTTTGAATAGTTCACTGACCTGTACAACTATATTTGTAAGATATTTTGATATCTTACTTTCCTGCATTAGACGAAGTATCAGTTATTTTTGTAGCTAACGAGTGCTGTATAGCATACGTCCGTCTACACCGGTGTCGACTGATTACAATGAACAGTGTCTAAGTCAAGCCCTATATATAAGGGTCTTCAGATATAGCGAGAATCCGAACAAAAATGGCGGACACATTCCTTTTTTGAATCGTGTTCAGCTTTAAGGTCTCATCCGAAAGACTCGCAACTTCATGTGTCAAGCGCATGTCGAATTATTTTCTGATGTCGATTAACGCCGTTGTTACCCGTATAACTTGCATCACCCGTAAAATCTCCTTTCCCTATGCCAAAAATATTCCCCGTAACATAATGCCCTCTTGTAGATTTCAGAAGAGATATGATTTTAGGTCCAAATGATTTTGAATTCTAAATGAAGGGATCCTTGGGCAAAAATGGTCACTTGTAGTAAATTAATGATTCAGGGATGATAAGTGTCATGACATATTTCGACTTAATGATAAACTGCATACATAAGTCAGGTAATGTACATCTAAAATAAAATAAAAAATATACGACTTCGCTCATTCAAAATTTAAAACCAGTTATTTGCAGTTTTTTTAGAATATGTCAAACTTAAAGGTCTGGGTCAGATATCGCAAATTATGATAAAATTTGAAAAGCTTTTTAAAGTTATGTTGGTTAACCTGATGTTTGAAATGTTTATATCACTTAAATTACCGGTATTTATTTTACAAGTTTTGCCGTCAAAAGGATGTTTTACGTCATCAAAATGTTATTCAAAACCAATAAGCACTACTTTTGGAAATTACAAAATAAAATATGTACTAGTATATCCTTTCATGCCCTTGCAATTTATAGATGACCCCAAACCTGAATCACAAGACTGCCACATCACGTGTCCCTAATCGAAAATCTTATCGTCCTCAAACTGTTCTTAATATCCATAATTACATTTGTCCAATATTTGCGAAATACTACAATAGAATCGCCATCCTGACCAAGAATATACGTTTGTATCTTTTTTATCGAAAAAATCGCCGATATATCCATTTCGCACCTTTATTGTTCTCCGTCGGTTACATATATATACTAGCATATAAGTACATGTATATATCATACCGGTAATTTTTATGTAACAGCTCGATGATTTCTTGTCATAGGATTCGGACATCAGAGTGTGACTACTTTTTCCTCTACAATAGCAGATAACTGTGTCATTCTTCAATGTTGCTATAAAAGACAACTCCGTTGATGTTTCACTATTCTTGACACCTTCGAGGACCATGACATCATTACAGTACCATGACCACGTGACCGATGGATTTCCAGCAGACGACAGTGTGCATCGAAGAAGAACCGGAGAACCAACTTTAACATTCATGCTCTTTGTGCTGATTAGAGGATATCCTGGCGGATTATCTTAAGTGTAAACAAGTTAATATATAAACAAGGAGTCCTAAAATTTGAAAAAAAAAATGTTTAAAATTTGAAATACTAGAAGTTGAAAAAGTTTCGTAGAAATGCTTTATGTAGTTTTTGGGGAGCTTTTTTTGTCCAAAGTTTGCGTTTATTTCTTAAAATATTTTTTAAAAATCATGAAACAACAGGACACCGAAACTGCAATTCATCATACTTATTTTGCCTGTGACTTTAGGCAGAAGTCTGTCGCGTTTATCAGTCCCTCGTTTGCCAACTGCTTATATGAAAAAAATATACAGTTTTTTCTTCCTTTTGATCCGCTTGTGTAGACATAAAACACATTTCAAAAGATAACATGACTACTGCTTGGGATGAAATTAATATCTGAATCAATTATTTTGTAGAAGAAAAATTCCATTTTCACCTCAATGAATGTCTACTAGATTAAATTGTTAAACCTTATAAAAACATCTACGGAACATCACCAATTTGCATTTCAATGGATGAATAAGCTAGTTTATAAGGGGAGTTCCTGAAACTTTTTTCTATGGAAAAAAGTAGTTTTGATTTCAAATTTATCAGAGTGGTGAAAAGAAATCTGCACTTCTATAGGACATTGTCAATGATATTCCAACAGATAAATTTGCAACTACTTGTTCAAAATATAAGTAGATTTCTAGTGATTAAGGTATTCGTAGATAACTTCTTATTTTAATTGACCCCAGCTGCAGACGAAAATGAAAATTCTAAACCTAATTCCGCATCTTAAGGCCATAAACTTTTTGTCAAATTCTAAATTATGAATTGGCTTCTTTTCAAAAGTTGATGAAGAAAAAAGTCTGTAAAAAGGGAGGACGGGATCGGGAAAACAACATTTTATTATCTGATTCTTTTTTGGAAGAACAGATAAGATGAAGGCCAATCTTTGCTTTCGGCTCTTTTAATTGCTGAGCTTTTTAGTTCTCTGATTGAGGAAATTCGGACAGATAAAGCAGATAGATCCAGCTACATATCCAAGCCTTCTAAAGAGCTTCGATTTAATTACGCCGCCGCTTTTCTGTCGCTTGCTTTGGGTGTTACTTGTATTTCTTGAATTGTTTTTTAACACTCTAAGAAGGAATTCTTGTCTGGTTTATGACGAAAGGAAATAATCAGAGTACATTTATTTATGTATTACATATTTGGATTTAAGAGATTTAAAAAGGCATATTTTTCGTTCCCTATCACACTTGTACAATAAAATAGAAATGGTAAACTGAATTTGAAATGTAGGGGGGGGGGATATTTTCGGCAGAGCGGCGGTATATCAAAATATCTTCTTTTCTGCTTCTGAACAATACTACAGAACAATCAATTTAGTTAGATTTTTACACAATTACAGACTCGAAGAAATTTTCAAATGCAAGTTTTACTAAATCAATAATAATGGACTAAACTTTTAAAATATATCAAATAAATATGATTTTGCAAATAAATTACAATTATGCTAGCTTTTAAATGCTTCCAATCATAAGTAATGAGTAAAAACCCGTAAAAGAATTCGAATTAGCCAATATCTATACTTTTAATTAAATGATTTGTGTCAATTTGTTTACATCATCTGATAGACCCTAAATGATATTATCTTTTTATTCAAAAAGAAAGACATTTCATTTAATCTTTTGAAATTGAAGCAGGAATTCTTAATTTTAATTCTTAATGTCCAGTGAAAATAATATGATCTTGACCTGGCATTGCTTTTAATATAATACGCTCAAATTTTAATTTTTACAACTGGTATTATCACTGAATTTGATGTCTTTTTGAATCTATGAGAAAAGTATTAATTTTCAAAGAAATATGAGAATGGTATCCGAAAATTAACCATATATTTTAATTCTATTCCTTGATACTTTATTTACCTAGCAACGGTTCCAAAGAGTCGTATTTGGTTGTGGAGTATGAGTTTTTAAAAAATACATCCAACGTCTAGGTTGGTGTAAATAACATTCTCGAGTTTTAATTATTTACATGAAGTTTCCTCTTGTTACGTTCATATTGTCTTCATTATAGACAATATTCGTGATATTTGACCCTCACGATTTTTTTTTCACATTTCTTGACAAGAACATCTTGTTTGAAAAAAAAATGTTCGCAAAAAACCCCAAATGGTCGTTGGTTTTTTTTTTAAATCTATATTTCTTTATCTGTCCATTGGCAAATGTTTTCCAAATAGAGAGCTACAGATCTGCAATTATGACTCTGAAATATATATTAAAAACAATACGATGGGATTGCTTTTTATGTTTTCTTAAGTTTTATATTTTTTAATTCTTTTAAGTTTAGATGATAAAAGATAACTACATATTACTAAATATTACTAATGAATTAAATTATATGACTCACATAAAACACTAATATCCGCAACACTGGACGGTGCCCTGAATTTGAATTGCGAGGAAACGTATGCTTCACAGTGACAGGACCTGTCATTGAAATCTTTTGTGGCTACAAAAACAACTTTTGACGTCAGACCAATATTGGTTACTCTGGAGGTTATCGTCTGAGTTCCACATATCCAGGACCAACTTATTGGAGGGTTTCCAAGCGAGTCAATCGAGCACTGAAGTGTAATATCGTCTCCAGCAGGGATTATTATATGGGAAACATTTAAAGTAGGTGTTTCCAATGGTACATCTGTATTTAAAGAAAATACTTGTAATTCACAAACATTTTATTAAATATTTAAGAAGTGATTAAATAGCAACCCCAGTTATACTGCTTTTATATTTTCATTCATTAATTACGTATGGAAACAAGACAATTTCTACCTTTATAACGTTTTCAAATTGTTCATTTTTTAAACGTAACGTCAAGCAGATTGATACATTTTGACGTAAATCAGTTTGACGTAGGCAACTCAGGTTACACAATTTAGATTAATTTTTTATCCAATCAAATGACGCGTTACAACCAAAATTAAATTAAATCTTTTATTTGTTGTGTATGTCGATCTTGAAGGTAAAGATATAGTTTATTAATATATATCATCATCGTTCTGGAAAGGTGTGTAGGAATAAAGAAACATAGAAAATTGAGCTCGTTTCCTTTACTCGAGTGTCTTGTGAGTTAAATACTGCAATATTCTAACCTTTCCGTTATCTAGATCTTTTATAATGTTTCTATTTGTAAATCTTTATTTTCTATTTGTATTGAATGGAATATTCGGTATGTTACAACAACAACAAACTTACAATAAACGTTTATGTTTAGGTATGTTGAAGTTGAATTGTACATTTGCTCTGAAGAATTCGATGTTGCTCGACAAAAGCAAAATCTGTTGTTAAATTTCCTCCCTGCTTTAAAAGACAATGTGCTGGCATCACCAATGGAAGTAGAATTTGGCGTAAAGTCTTCGCCCCCACATGTCCAAAACCAAGTGACTGAGTACAATCCTGATGAACTTGCAGGCAGCGTGCACTGCAAAGTAATCATTTGTCCTTCTTGCACACGAGGGGTGAGCAATGCAATTAACACTGGCCGACCTCTTGAAATTTCTTTTTAAAAACAAAATAAATGCATCAAAGTTCCAATGATAATAACATAACTTATAAAGTTATTGGCATTAGAGAGAATTTTCATTACAATAAAATCATAGTCCAAAACAATTATTTGATTAAATGTTCCTCTAAAGAATTTTTTGGAAACAGTACTAGTATTTTGATTGATTATTTTTTTGTATGTTACAAATAATTTAAATTTATCTGTCGGTTGTGTCTTTTTTCCTTATTAGAATACATGTAATCACTGCTTAAATTACCAAAATCCTTGATTTGGCAAGTTTTGCATCGTTTGAATTTTTTTTATTTTTGTTACATTACGTCCAAATCATTGTTTTTACTCTTTTTGAGACTTCAGCACATGCAGTGGGAACTTAGTTACAAATGAATATGGGAATACCTCACCCGTTATCTTTATCATACAGCTCGATGACTTTTTGTCATAGGATTCGGTCATCAATGTGTGATTACTTTCCCCTCTACAATAACATTCCATTTTGCCGTGCGTCACTTTTGCTATAAATGACAATTCCGTCGATTTATCATTATTCCTGACACCTTCAAGCATCATGGCATCATTGCAATACCATGACCATGTGATCGGTGGATTTCCAGCAGACGACAGTGTACATCGGAGTATAACTAGAGAGCCCTCTTGAACATTGGTTGTCCGTGTGTTGATTTGAGGATATTCTGGAGGAAAATCTAAAGAAATATAAATTCAAACCATTAACTTCTAAGGACTGAGAAATTAGTTGAAAAGCAAAATATATGAAAGTGAAAAAGAATATTGTTACTGTCATCAGACAGTTTTTCAACACGTAAGTATGAAACATGCACATTTAATTATATCATGGTATAAAGTAAAGAAGTATCAATAGACACACTATGTCATTTCCAAAAATATACAGGAATTACATACAACACAACTTACTAAGATTAACAAATTGTCCATTGGCCTCTGATGTTACTTTTTCACAATTAAGTTTCAATACAAGTCAATTTAAAACTCTATTTTCAAAGAACATGAATTTTAAGAGCAGTTTTAAAAAGGAAGTTTTCGCCTTTGAAAATCGGATTGGGCCCGAAATTAGAAAAAAAAAAACCAAGTTGTGAACCAAGTTACGTGTCTACGGTGATATCATCAATCATGTTTTTAATGTTTTTACTTCTGCATTAAATCAAATCAAAATTATATCAGTACGATGGATTTTTAAATCATAGTTCATGCAAAAATGTGTTCAGTTCCTGGTGACAACGAAAAAGAAATATTTCACGAATATTCCAAACAATAAGTTGGCTATATTGAACAATATCAGAGGTGTTCATTTTTCGAACCCATTGGTCCAAGGTAAAAATGCAAATGCAACACCTCTTTGCATAATTTTATACACTGTATTCCGGACAAAATCCAATTATTTCATGAAACATGAATTTGTTAAAACGTGCCAAAAGTAGAAGACGATACTGTTACTCAGGAATGGACCGACTTAGAGAAGAACTAATTATCTTAACTTGCATTTAGAAAGAATATATGTATATTATAGGTATAATAATATATTTACATTTTGTCTTCCTTACAAAACTCAAAGGAACTTAAAGACATAGTGAATTCACTTTATTTTGTGCACAGAAGTTGTTTATTTTATGAATTAATATCTATTTAAAATCAGATACTCATAGACGACTATATGTAGTCGTTACTTTTGAATAGTATTATGTGACTTACATAGAACACTGACATCTGCGACACTGGACGATGCCTTAAACTCGTACTGTGATGTAGCACCTGCTTCACAGTGACAGGACCTGCCATTGAGATCTTTTGTAGCTACAAATACAGCTTCTGACGTCAGACCAATATTGGTTACTCTGGAGTATATCGTCTGAGTTCCACATATCCAGGACCAACTTATTGGAGGGTTTCCAAGCGAGTCAATCGAGCACTGCAATGTTATATCATCTCCAGCAGGGATTATTATTTTGGAAACATTTAAAGTGGGTACTGTCAAAGGTGGATCTGTATATTAAGAATATATAAGGTATCTGCAAAATTTTTTAAATTTAATTTAATGAGTGTCATTGTTAATGCCTTTTTAAAGCAGACTCCTATGGTGTTTGTACACATAAACCGCTCAGGAAACTCGAGGGTCGGGGGAGGTGGGGGGGGGGGTGATGTGACATCATTCATAACAATTTGTTCACAACACCCTACAGATTTTCCAACTGTTATGTTTTCAATCCTGCGGGTTAATATTTGACTTGAACAATTCACCAAACTAGCTACTAATAGATTGTATTCGTTAGACCCAAGTTAACAAGAGTTATTTCCCGTTGGCCGACATATTAGAGACAACACGTCAATATGCTTATATCCCTTCATTATTCAACCAACTTTAACTTTTTAATTTGGAAATTGTGGGATAGGATACATTGCTTTTCTGAAAAATATACATTTGTTAGAGCTTCCTTTATTTCATAAATTTTACTCCAAGAAGATTTCCCCCCAATATTACTATCAAAACCTAGGAAAATGTGGAAAATTACCAGGTTGACGATGGTGGCCAAGGAAAATAACTCGGACAGAAAATGCTTCATATGAAAACTATTGGAATTTTGGCAAGTGCTTTGTCTTCTTCAGATTAGAGAAGAGAGAAACAACAACCATTTTTGCCGCAGGTTTGGTTGTTTCTGATGAATTCTTTGTTCTCATAGATTTGTGGGATTTTCTTTTTTTCCCGTCATTGCACGCCCGTTTTGTACTTTTCTGATTTTTTTTTAAATCAAAAGTTTAGTTCCTGACCAAAACAAAGAGATATAACTCATCGAAAATGATGGAATTTTCGGTAATTAATGCAGAAAATAGAAAAACTACACATTAAGTCATTTTTTTCAATTATATCCGAAATAGCGCGCCATACAGACTGTGGTGTCTTTCCACGAATCAATGAGACGCTTGGTTTTCTTTACTGGTGAAACCTTTAAAAATGTTAAGGAGAATTTTGACAAAGATTAGTGATAATAATAAACATTTTTTTTATCCTAGGAAAAGAAAAGACCCTATTCACAGCAAATCACGATTAAATTAAGATGAATGTTTTGTTAATCAAATAAAAATAATTACGAGTCGGTAAGTACCACAAATCCATGAGATACAAGGCTATATTGACGCAATTTACACATTCTGGCTTCATAATCATAGAGCTGAAATTACTTTTTATTTATAGAATATGTTTATACTATGCCAAACATCATTTTGATCTGAATTATAGTTACTGTGGAAGGACTTTTGAACATTTTAATACCCTCCATTTACTTTACAGTATACACGTGTTATTCACGTCTGGGGATTAGGGGAATTTTTTGTAAACATATTAGTGAAAGTTAGTTAATTAAATGGGTCTGAATAGCTCACAGGTTAAAACACTAACCAAATACCCTAACTTAGAATAAAAGAAACTTTTAATTATATATATGTATACACAGAGACATTTAAATATATCCATCAGATGTTTTTATAAATATATTACATTTTTTCTTTATGATTGAAATACATACGCATAGCTGAAGTGGAAAACGCAAAAAATATTACACAGTATGTTTGAGAATAAGTAACAAATACGTGTAGTACACTTACAATAAACGTCTATGCTTTGGAGTGTGGAAGTCGAGTTATACATTTGCTCCGAAAGTTTTGATGTTGCTCTACAATAGCAAAATTTCTTGTTGAATTTCCTTTCTGCTTTGAAAGTCATGGTGCTGATGTCACCACTGGAAGTAGAGTTAAACGTGAGGTCTTCGTCCGCACAGGTCCAAAGCCATGTGACTTGATATGCACCGTTTGAGCTTAAATGCACCGTGCATTGAAGTGTAATTATTCGTCCTTCTTGCACAGAAGAGGATTGCAATACAGACAATGATGGTCCACCAATGTTTATTGCTTAAAATAAATTAAATGCAATTAGTCCTGACTGAAAAATTTCTACAAAGAAATAAATCTGGATTTAAAAAAACATTATGTATTTAGCCCTGCTATGATAGACAAATGTGCACATTCTGAAATGAATTCTGAGTTCTTGCTCTTTATATCTACATTTAATCTTTTTAAAAATTAAAGTACGAAACAAATGATTGGTTATCAGAAATAATTGTATATGTAACTCAAAAAGGGCCTGCATCCTTTTGCTACTGCTTTTTTCTATGCTTTATAAACCAAAATCATTTTATTGCATGTTTAACTTTGAAGACGATCTTTCAAAGCTGAAAAGGCCAATGACACGAAATGCTGAGTAAATTCTAAGATAACAAGGGCACCGCTAAGCGGAGCATCACCTCGCGACAGGAACTTCACTGGAAATGGCAATATATCACGAGAGATAAATTCTCTAGAGGGACGTTAAACATGTTAAAGATTGATAGTACAACGTAATTTGTTTAATGTCCCTCTCAGGAATATTTTGCTCATATAAAGGCTTGCCCGTGGAGAGCTGCACATTTTTTCCTATAATAGGCACTGTGGCAACGCACTTTGAAAAAATTACGCACTTTGAAAAAAATTTTTAAAGTGCGTTAAAATTGGGACAAAATCAACGCACTTTGAAAAAAATTTTCAAAGTGCGTAATTTTTCAAAGTGCGTTGTAACAAGGCACTGACGGCCATTGAGCAGCGAGGGATCTTTTTGTGCCAGCATCTATTGGGACATGGGCCCTTGGTTTAAACGGTCTCATTGGAAGGACCAGTCTCCACGTCCCACAGTGGGATTCGAACCCACAACGTTAGGATAACTCCCTTACCTTTGACAAAATTATTAAGAAGGGGGGGGTGTGTTACTATTGATCCATTTTTTTTTTTTACAAAATGCAATGTGCATAGCGTCTTGGTACGGGGGGGGGGGGGGGGGCATAACATGGATACCTAATTTGGGTTAGTAAAGTTTAATTTAAGATGAAGAAAATAAAAATGTTTTTTCAGCACTGTTTATTTTTCTAACAAATTTATCGGGCAAGGGATGTCTATTTTTAACAAAAATCAAATTGCATAGCATTTTTGTGGGGAGGGGGGACATAACATGCATACGTAATTGGGCAGAAACATATCACGTATGCTACATGTACATATATAGAAAAAAAATTTCAAAGTGCGTAATTTTTCAAAGTGCGTTGTAACATTGCTTTCTTAAGTATGTTGAGTTTAATTCAATTTTATTTAGATTTAATATTAATGGAATGAATCTCGAAAATAGCTATTTTTCCCATCAAATAATTTTCCACGCTCACAGTGACACCGTTTTCTTCCTGAGATGCATGTTTCAAGTTAATTCATACTGGTAAATATTGATTCAATTCAAATAGAGATGATTATTAAATCTTACCTATGAGTTCACCATATCTGTAAAATCAAACGCGGCCTTTTTCAAATACATAAATTGCTACGCAACCTCAAATGCAATATCATAATTGTAATCAGACCATATCCCTTACATCTTGACTCGAAAACAATCTCATTCAAAATCATATATACACCCAGGAGCTTGTCAGAAGTTTTTATAACTTGCACCACTTGACTGGTCAATGAAATTCAAGGAAATCGCGACAACGCTAAATCGACAATAATACAGAACATTTTCAGCGGAACCCGTGACGTAGTGGTTAGAGCGGTCGTCTGCTAATCCGAAGGTCGAGGGATCGAATCCTGCACATTTTATTATTATTATTACATGTATTATTATTATTATTTTTTGCATTTTTCTTCTTTTTTCAACCCAAATGACACGGAAACACTTAAAAAGGTGAAAAAGACCTCTAATTGTTCAGTAAACAATTAGTCTACTAGTTTCAATTACTTAGCGTCGGAGATGATATGTTAATTCATACAGACTGTCTCAAAATACGCACAATCATATGACAATGCGCAAATACATGTACGAAGTAAAATTTACTGAGCGAGTCTATCGAAGCGACCCGAATTTACCAGGCTGATCAAACGGAAGTGGTATTTGTCAAGTCGTACATAAAACTTTAGTTTATTTAAGCAACCCGAATAAACAGAAGTGAGCATTGTCATGTCGTTTATAAAATTTCAGGTTAAGAGGGTAGTAAAAACGTTATATTTTAAGAAATATTCCATGGATTAATTTGAAAATGAATAGGTTTCGTCCTTTCATATTGGTACACAAGTATTTAAAGGCTGAGAGTGGCTAATGCAAAGGTTCTCTGTAAATCTTGCCCACAAGCTATAACGGACACACTAACACACGCACATTCGCGCGATGCTATATCCCCTCCGCAACTAGTTGCGCGAGGGGATAATAATATCTAGTCGATTGCGTACATGTAGCACCGTTAAAAGAGCAATAATTTGTTCTAGAGTAAAATGTTTATCTTTGCAACCGAATCTTACTGCGACATGGAGACCAGTCCTTTAATTTGAATGAGACAATAGAAAATTGATGATTGAAATCAAATTTTCTTGAAAAAAGGAGTTTCAATGTTTGCTGAAAATAATTAAGATATCTTTTGAAATGTTTAACAAGATTTACAAATCTTATCATAGATTAACGTAAATTATATAATATATGAGTTATTCTAATTAATCACAAGATGAATCCTAAAAATGCGTCCTTGCTTGTATGTCCTGTATAAAGTATCTAATCATACCATTGATTTTTATGTTACAGTCTAAGGATTTCTGATCGTAGGATTCGGGCATCAAAGTATGATTACTCTTCCCTCTACAATAACAAATCACTTTGTCTTTCGTATATTTTGCTATAAAAGATAACTCTGTAGATTTGTCATGATTCCTGATCCCTTCAAGCATGGCGACATCATTACAGTACCATGACCATGTGATCGGTGGATTTCCAAGATAGGACAGTGAACATCCAAGTATTACTGGAGAGCCCTCTTGAACATTGATTGTCCTCGAGTTGATCTGAGGATATCCTGAGGGATAATCTGAATACATTTTAAGATTTAATAAGCGATATTAAAATTTGGTATAAGAGCCGAGAATGGTTTTGTCTTTACAAAGCAATATTTCGAAAATATAGAAAGTTTTTGTGTTTAAAAATCAGATATTTACATCCATTTCATTTTTTTCTTCTAAGATTCATTTGAAATCTAAAGTGTTCCTCACACTATCACCTATTAAAACATTTTTGTGACGTCATCTTTTGTTAAACCTGGTTCAATAAATTTGTTATTGTCCTGCTCCCCGTCCAATAAGTTACCTGTAGGTGTCCAATAAGATTCAACTTATTGGACAGGTACAGGTAACATTCAAATGAGAACAAAGGGCAAGGCAATTAAATAAACAGCACTTAAAAGACAATGACAAATCAAACAATTTAATACGAACAATGTAGGAAATTGTAGTGTTAAATGTTAATATTTCACAAAAAAATCCTATTGAAAATGGCACAAATAATCCACAGTGAATTGAATGTCTGACATTCATTATTGAAGACGCATCGGTGGCTACAATCATAACTTTCCTAAATTCACCGTTCATTAATTGCTATATATTAGATTTATTTCACAATGATTGATCCATAGAACATATATAGAATCCAAGGGACACAAAAGATGAATGAGAAGCATGCGTTTTCTCACACACAACCTTGGGCTTTTTTGCTTATTTAAAAATCCACTTTTTCCGCATTTAGCACAAACTTTCGCATAAGAAATTCCAACGAAATCTGTAATGTATGAAAATTTTGTCCACCTAATCCTGCGTTGTTTTAGCGAGTTTCTTTGGTTGTTTTAAGGGATGGCTGGGGTAAAATCCTTCCGAGTTCGAAACCTGCACACAAAAGAGAAACCGTTGCGTTTTTTAAAAATACATAAGAAATAACCTCCCAATTTCATAGAAAATGCTTAAACAGGTTGGGCACACACCGCCAAATGGTCATTTAACCCCCGTTTGGTGGTCAATCGCCCATATCGGCGTCTTTATTACCTACCAAATGGGAGAGAAAAATCGTTTTGTTCAGTTCTCTGGGATGAAGTGAAATGGCGCATAATTTCAACTCACGGGGAATAAAATATAGATATTTATCTATGCTCTGAACGAAAAAAATCAGAATTTCAACGCGGACTTTTTTGCGCAGTGTCGTTCAAATATTGGACAAAATCGTCACCTATGTAAACAAGTGTAACGTTTCTGTGTTTTAACTTAAAAAGAAAAAATTCCTCCATCTCGCACGTTGTTGCACCTATCAATCGTGTTTATCACTTCATATTTTTGTCATCCGGGCAACCGATCAATTATCTAAACCAATTAAAAATGACGATCTTTTCCGAACTTGGGTCAAAAGACTGATTTAACTACGGAGACCCATTAGCGTTAATTTTCAAAAAGTAAAATAAGAGGAAGGGTAAGAATTCGCTTTTATTCCGTTTATTTCGTATGCAATGGCTGTATTCTTTAGAAAAATAGGATATGCAGTGAATTTATGATAAAATAATTGCTCGAAAACAATAATCTTGGAATAAAAAAGAATAATTGCAACTGTCACTTTGTAAATCTTTTATTCCAAAATATTTAAATAAATATACTAGATACATCATAGATATGCATACTAAACCACAAAGGGTCGCACAGAAATCGTAACTTCATCTTAGAGAAAATAAAGAATAAATGTTACATTCAAATGTAGAAAAAATGAATATTATAGCAATAAGTGCCCACCATACGAATAAGATACGAGGAGCTCGTGTTTAACGGGATTTTATAGAGATTTATATTGACGCAGATGGAAAGATCGTTTGAAAAGTTACTTCTCTAGACTAATACCTCTTGTCTAAATATATTTTTTACCGAACTATACACAACAAAATAATTTTTCGTATTGTTTGAGCAAATAGTTCGGCCGTCACGAACAGCTGTGGATTTCGTTTTTACGAAATTCCACATGGAAAATGCCTAAGTAAATGCGCTTTTGCTTTATTTTAATAAAAATTGGATTTGAAGAAAAAAGACCACCATTTGGTAGGTTAAAAAGACGTCGATATGGGCGATTGACCACCAAACGGGGGATAAATGACCATTTGGCGGTGTGTGCCCAACCTGTTAAACACTGGTTGGAGTAAAATCCTTCAAATACTATTGCTTTACAAAAATTACCTGTTAACGAAAACTGTTTCTTGCAAATTCCGAAACAAAATAATATATGGTAGGAAACTTGAACTGAGGCATCCTGGTGTAATCGATGAATGGCATCGTCAAAAATTCCGATTCTGAAGGTCTTTTTTCAAAATTAAAATGTACGTCGTCATCCGTGGTCGTTGCGTTGTTAAATGAATAAATTGTAAAGAATTTAGTAGAACTGACTTTTACGCATGCGTAGTATATATAAAAAAAATGTCGCAATGCGGATAAATAAGACTAAACAAAGTTAATGTTCATATTTATCGATATAAAACACCTCTCGATGATTCCTACTATTTATAAAGACAGAAGGGAAACCAAAACTGGTTTTCTTTGGCCTTACTTGATGAACAGTGCCAGGTAGTCATCCAAGCAGAACGAGACCTTACCTGTGACTGTCCAATAAGTTAACAATGGAAGTGTTCGACAGTAGTGAAATGTTTTAAGTAAGTTATAAGCCTTAAACAGGTCGAGGAAAATATTTTCTGTGACGTCGGAATAAATTTACATGTTCAGTGAGGAACCAACGTGACTGACAAATCGACCAATCAGCTCAATGAGTTGCATTATGGTCTACTACAAAAATACTACACGTGTGTTTCTAAAAGGCCAATTTTTTTTTAAATCGCTCTCGGAAAAACGTGATGCATTTTTCCAAGCATTTTACACACTTAATACAATATGAACATCATTATCTACTGATTCCATACTCACATTTATATACAAATGATTTACAATGATAAAAATTAGGGTTTTCTCCACTCCATTGTACAAGTCCGTTTTGTAACGAACCCTCCCCCATTTTTCTTGAATCTCATTTTTTTATCTTGGTATTTTTCTAAAACACTTTCATGCATACTTTCAATTCATTCATCAATTCTTGTATGGAATGTTGAAATGTCCAGCGAGAGTTATTTCTTAATTGTTGGTTGACAACTGCTTAAATGTAGCGAAGATCTATGTCATTTTTCTTGTGTTTCAATGTGTTGAATGTCAGACATCGTCTTGCTATTTAATTACACGCTTTTTGTTGGTTTAATTGTACATACGTAATTATAAAGCTGCGCTATAATTTAGGATTATCTTAAAGTTACCTTATTTCTTGTGTGATCGATGTTTTATGGTCTTCGAGTACACACGTTTCACTGAAACTTCTGTCGCCGCCATACCTTGTTTACTTGTGTATTTTCCCATGATGCTTCGCGGTGATCTATTTTTACTGGAGTTATTTCGGCGGAAGATTTGATTGTAAATTCTTTTAAATTAAATGTTAAACAGTGTTAAATGAGCTTTTAAAAGTGTAACTTTATGTTTTATGAATTTACTTAATTTATTTACGTATTGTAATAATTTTACATACGATGTACAAGAGTGAGATTTCATTACGGGATGATGATTACATTTGATTGGCTGATTATTATTTACGGGATGGAATTATTAGTTATGATTGGTTATCAATTATTGCGGGTTTTGTTAATTCTATAAATACTCAGATGCTGAATATCGTTTGCTCTCTCGTTTTTGTCTCTCTCGTCACCAGTTTTGTCTAGAGTAATTTAAGGTGTGTACTATTTCAGTATCTAAGTGACTGAAGTACATAATTACATAATGTTAGGTTAGGCTAAATTCATATGACTAGTAATTGTACTAGTTTTATTTATAATTACTAGTTGTGAACTAGTTATTTTATCTTCTTTAGCCCAGTTTAGGAGTTAGGAAATACTTCTGCTGCGTGCTAGTAGTTGAACTAGTAGCGGGAATATTTATTTGTAAATTAATTATAAGTCATTTATAGAGAGCCTTTTCGTTTTATTTTGGTCGGGGGAATTTATACTTAAATCATAAATTACTGGAAATAGTGCCAGTTGCCCAGTTACTAGTATATCAGTAGTTGTACTGATTTTGTCTTTTGTCCCAAGGGTTGAGACTTGTGAATTTCACACCCTGTTATTTAATTTCGCTGTTCATGTATATCTAAAATTATAAAACTTTACATCGGAGTTTTTGTTCTCAACACAAGGCAGGCGTTCCGAAGCGTTACAATTTTGGCATCCACGGCGGGATCCGTTTAAATTTACGGGTCCTGTGATCGAATCATAACAACGCTTTGTCTGTGTTTGAGAAACAAAAGTTTTATTAAGCAAACAAATAAAAATAAATCACAATGGCAGGTCGTAAAAGTCGACGGAGGCGTCGTGGTCTTCAAGAATCTAGATCTACCTCACGGATTTCGTGCTCCTCTGTAGATACTGTAAGAGAAAATGAAAGCGAATGCGAATTTCCGTGTGAAGGAACCGACATGCACAGAACTAAGCCAGTTGTTCATTCAAATAAAGAAGTCTCTCTGTTAGCAAATTTACATGACTCAGATACAAGTTTAATGCTTGTGAGTTCTCAGGCAGACGTTGTGAGAGACGGAGAATCTACACTTTTTATTGGAAACTCAGATACAGTTTCTGTAACTGTGAGTACCACTAAAGAACAGCCATAGACAGCAGTGTACTTACGCCTAAAATGAGCCATCTTCACACCTGTGGTCCCACAACTCAGATGCCTTTTGTACCTGTTTGCTCACATTTTGCTGAGAATTTGTGTACAGGTTTTCCTAGAGAGCCGACAGCTGTCCCTAGTATGTATATACCTGCAGTCTGGAGTACAGGTACTCTCATGAGCCCCTCCATTACACAGACAGCAATTCCAGTATCTGGGTTACCTGTGAACTCTCATACACGCAGCACTTATTTGAGTTCATGTACAGGTACAAATTATTACAATACCTTACCTGTAAACTCTTATGCAGTTCCTT